AATTATACCATTCTCCGTAATCTTATGTAAGTGTGAATTATTTCACAATAAAAATCAGAGATAACTCATCCCACCTGCTATTTTACAGACGGCCACATGGTGACAGTGGAGTATTGGGCTGGGTGTGGAGTCAAGCTGTGAGGAAGAAATGCGGAAGAGCAATCACCCCATTCATTCTTTATTGATTTATTTCTTCTCATCTTTGCATCTGACTTTCTAAAGGGCCCTGAGCTGGGCCTGTTGAGGACAGAGTCAAATTAGCCCCCGGCCCCTACCCTCCTACAGCCACTATGTAAATAGTGTATCTACTAGTAGAAGGGGCAGTCACCAGGAACGTGGGTCCTTGCAGACATGGGTGTCTCTGTGTTTGAGGTCACTGGAATGGAAGCCTTGACTGGTCATATCAGAAACAAAGAACTTAGCCCAGGGAAGAGGGAAGCTGCCACTTGTGTGAGGTGACCTCTTCTACGTGCACTCCGGTGTACACACTTATCAACTGCATGATCTTGGAAAGTCACTTTACCTATCTGAACCTTGTGGGGCTAATAATAGTTCATACCATAAAGCTTTTATTGAAAAGGAAGGAGCTGGAGAGACAGAAGCTTGTTGACATTGTTGAACATCTGGATTCGGTCCTTCCTGAATCCCATTTTATCTTCATTCAGATGGAGCAAAAATTATTCCTTTCATTCGAGGCAAGCTGAATCGGGTGTTTTAGTCCTGACTTAATGCATTCTCAATAGCATGATGTAAACTAAAAAGAGCCAAGCTACTTATCAGAACATCAGAAACCCGTGAGCAATGGTTAAAAGAAGAGGCATTTGAAGAAGGAAACTCTTGTTCCATAGATAACAGGACTCTGTGAATTGCCTGTAGAGAAGGTCTGCAGGCGGGCTCCATGCATGGGCCAACGATCTCCATATTAGGAAGAATTCCAATAAGCCCTTGGAGGATAGGGGTGGAGTGGATGTATGGATGAGCAGACCTGGAAATCCAGAGACAAAATGGCATGGGGGTACTCCAAGCCCATAGATAATAATAAAACGCCTCCTTGCCAAAACCGGTTTGGCTCAGTGGATAGAGCGTCGGTCTGTGGATTGAAGGATCCCAGGTTCGATTCCGGTCAAGGGCATGTACACTGGTTGCAGGCACATCCCTGGTAGGGGGTGTGCAGGAGGCAGCTGGTCCATGTTTCTCTCTCATGGATGTTTCTAGCTCTCTATCCCTCTCCCTTCCTCTCTGTAAAAAAAAAAAAAAAAAAAAAAAAAAAAAAAAAAAAAAATCAATAAAATGTATTTAAAATAATAATAATAATAATAATAATAATAATAATAATAAAACGCCTCCATCTGCTTTCTCAGCCCTCAGGTACAGAGAAGCGGGATCATTATAATCCAGGGGTCCTGACACTGCATCATAGCCCCATACAGTATTTAAGTCCTCAATCAGCACTCAAGCCCTCCATCAGTAAAAAGTAGCTGTAATCTAGAAGCCAGAGATCATTGTTTAACAGCAATAAACAGGACTGAGTGATGCCCCCTGTGGACTCCTTTCAAGGGCTTCTCAGTGCTCGGACAATGCATTCTCACTATGGCTTGAAGGGTGCTGCATATACCTTTCTCCTTGCCAGCTGTTTTCACGTCTCTCACCCCCAGCCCGGCCACACTGGGCTTCTTCAGTCTCACACACCAACCTCTTTCTCACCCCAGAGCCACCAACCTCTTTCTCACCCCAGAGCCTTTGCAGTGATGTTTGCATTTATCATCCTAGTCACCTCTCCAACCCCATGCTCGCCATTTCTCGTGGTGGGCTCCTTCTCAGGCTTCTGTTCCCAGTTTCAGCTTCTCCTCAGAGGGACTGTCCCAACCCCCTAGTCTAAAGCAGGAGCTGATATTCTTCCTCTTCACACTCTTGGTGCTTCCAGTTTTTTTGTGGTCCTTGTTTGATCTCCAGCATTTGACCATAAAATCCCACAGGGATCTTGGTCCACTTTGCTCATGGCTGCAGCCCTGGCACTCACAGGAAGCTTGGCACACAGTAGGCGCTTAAAAATAATTTGTTAATGAGTGAATGACACCCCAAAAAATGTGATTTTGTTTAAGTGCTTAGCCCTCCTCACTCAGAAATGGCATTCTCCCCCAGTTGTGGATGGATATTCACTTTGTTCACAAATATTTATGGAGCATCTACTATGCTGGGCGCCATGCCCTGTGGAGATAGTGTAACCAAGAGAGATAGAAACCCCAATTTTCTGGAGCTCACATTCTAGTTTGGGGGAGAGAGACAATGCATGAGTAAACAAATTAACAAAGTAAATTTAAATGATGATAAATGCAATGAGGAAAATAAAACAAATCAGTCCAATGGTGACTGGTGGCGGGGACAGAGCTAAACAAGGTCTGACGCAAAGACGTATGAACAGACACTGCAGGGAGGGAAGGAGTGGCAAGGAGAAGAGGCTGGGAAGAGCCTGGCAGGTAGAGGATGAGCGAGGACCAAGGCCCTGAGGTAGGAAGCCCTTAGTGGGCTCCAGGAGAGGCGGGCTCAGGTGGAGGATGCCGAGGAGGGAGCGGGGATAAGCTGAGATGGGCAGGGGCTGGGTCCTGGGGCAGAGAGTGGGGACTATGTGGAAGGGGTTCAGAGATGTGATTCCAGGCCCCTGGGGCGGCTGAGGAAGGTAGCGGGTGAGGCCCGGCGCAGGTTCTGTGAGGCAGCCTTCCTTTAGCCTCTGCTTCTGGAACCCAGGCTGGACATCGGTTCTGGAGAGGCTGGAAAGGCCTGGGGTGCTCTCATCCCCTCCCCGCCTCTTCTTATTTAAACACAGCCTCCCTCACAGTTATTTAAACACAAACTCCTGCAGCGGCTGCTGCCCACCTCCCACACCATCCTCTGCGCAGCCTTCCCCTGGGAAAGCCCTCTGGTGGCCTCTCCGGGGTGAGTCCCCGCGCTGAGGCAGCAGCAGGGCCGTTTCTAGGCTTCTCCCCCGAGGCACACACCCCCTTTCTCTAGGGCGTCAACGTGAAATGCTCACTAGTGCCAGAGGCAGGACACTGAATCCATCCTGCGTCCTTCTTTAGAGACCATCCGGGCAGCAGCAGAGCACCCGTCCCCACCACCGCTGCCCTGGGCCTGGCACAAGGCCCCTGAGGAGGGGTCTTGGGGCAAACACACGCAGACCATTGAACCTCACAGTCCCATCCTTTCCTCTGCTCCAGACGACGCCCAGGGGCCTGTGCGGGCCTAGGGCGTGGGGAAGAATGGCGAAGATCCGCCTCCAGAGTGAGACTGTCTAAGGGGGACCCCAGCCCCAACGTCCTGGCAGAGTGTTCTTTGACAAGTTCCTTCACGTCCGTGCTATTCCCTCCTACATACACTAGGAAGTCCTACCTTGTAGGGGGGTCAAGAGGATCAGTGAGTTGGCTTTTACCTGTGAAAGGGCTCCAAAGGATGCCTGGAAACTAGGAAACATGTTGGCTATTACTATTCTTTTTAAAAAATACATATATTTTATTGATTTTTTAAAGAGAGGAAGGGAGAGAGATAATTAGAAACATCGATGAGAGAGAAACTTGGATCAGCTGCCTCCTGCACACCCCCTACTGGGGATGTGCCCACAACCAAGGTACATGCCCTTGACCGGAATCGAACCCAAGACCTTTCAGTCCGCAGACCGAAGCTCTATCCGCTGAGCCAAACTGGTAAGGGCGACTATTACTATTCTTTCCTCTTTTTGCATTTTACTGCGAGAAACAGAAATGCACTCACCTGGCATGAGGAGGGGCGTTGAGTGCAAGGTCTCCCGAAGAAGAGGCTCTGGGACAGGCACACAGTACTGGAACCTGGAATTAGCCAGAGGCCTCTGTGGAGCATCAAGTGGTTAACGTGGGGACAATGGGTTCCCGGAGGCTGGCAGGGGACCTCGTTCTCCTCTGCAAAGGGGCCCCTGCGTGAAGGTCCACCAGAAGGTTCACCAGAAAGGAAGGGCCCTGGAACTTTCTTCATTGTGGCAGGTAAGAGATCCTGAGATCCTGCCGCCAACCCTGGTATACTGCGCATGCTCAGTGATAGGCAATACAGTGAACTTGGAAAGAGCAATGGCTTTGGAGTCAGATAGACTAGGCTCAAGTTCTGGCTCCTTCACTTCCTAGCCTAACCTTGGGTGAGCCACTAAACCTCTCGGACCTCAGTTTTCCCATCTGCAGATTGGGGTTTAAGAAGGGCACTTAGCTTAGTCTGTGTCGCTCAGTGATTGAGAATCGGCCTATGAACCAGGAGGTCAGGTTCCATTCACTGGTCAGAGCATGTGCCCCGGTTGCCGGCTTCATCCCAGTGGGGGGTGTGCAGCAGGCAGCCTATATGATTCTCTTTCACTGCTTGCATCTCAGAGCTCTCCCTCTCCCTTTCTCTCTGAAATCAATAAAAAAATATATTTTTTAAAATTTCATAAAAAAGGCACTTACCTTCAATAGCTGTTTTGAGAATTTGATGAGAAAAATGCATGTAAAAGGCTTAATCTAGGACCTGGGTCAGAAATGTGATCAGTAAATACTTCACACACACACACACACACACACACACACATGCACTCACATGCACACACACACAAATAGGTTAAAAAAGAACAACATAGTCTTAGGGGCTCTATCACGTGTGTAGACAACGAATGCTGAAATACTGCGTTTGCCTTCGCACTGGAAGTCAGTATCCTGTGGCCTCGTGTGTGATGGTGGGACGTTTGAAGGCCCTCTGCAGACAGCTCCTCCCGCTGGCTTTTGCTTTGGCACTTCCAGCTCTGCTTGAGGGCTCACCCCACAGCTGCCTCCTTCAGTGAGCTCTATGGTTGGAGCAGTCCTCCTTGGAACCTTGATCTGAGCGAAAGGACATTTCAGGGGTGGTTCCTGGTGGAAGCACGCACACAGTGTGGACTGGAGGGTAGGAACACCCCTCCCCCCACCTGCCATGGGCCACCTCCCCCTTTCAAAAAGCCACCGGAGCGCGTGTTTGAGAAAAGTTAAGCTGTTTTATTTCACAGGATAGCTCCACATCAAACCAGCAGGCACCATCAGAATATGCGACAGAGGATCTAATCAGACACTCTACAGGACGGGCGTCGGCTGTAAGGTAGAGAAACAATATCTGGAAGAGGGCAGCACTTCTCATCACGTGGGGACAAGCAACCAGCAATTTCCGAGGGCGGTTTCAATTTTTTTCTTTCTTTTTTTTTTTTTCCTGACAGGGTTTGGGGAGGAGGGAAACCGAAGAAAACAAAACAGACCAGCCACTCTGAAGCAATCAGAACCAAGCCTATTGCCAAACCGTGTAAACAGCCAGCTGCCAGGGGCCGGAGCCCAGCGGTAACTCCAGCAGAGCCTCCCTCTGAGGAAGGCGGGGTGCGTTCTGTTTGTTCTGGTCCAAGAGACAGCTTTGTGAGGGACAGTTCGCACAGAAAGGAGGTGTCCGAGAGGGGCAGCGCTGGCCGTTCGGCCAGTCCCAGAGGGCGGGGCGGCGGGACACTGGCAAATCAACCTTGGAGAGGAGAGGCCGGGAGCACTCCCACCCGGCAGCTCCCCCTCGCTCGGCTCCCCTGGCAGTTTGGGTGTGTGTGGGATTCTCTGCACGAGAGAGGAGACCCCGGAGACCGGGGAAGTTGACATGGAACGTCAGCATTAGCTCTGCACAGCAGAAAATCAGCTAAGCCACACCTGGGCTCGCCCTTCCTGCCTTTTCCTCCCTGCCAAGCGCCAAGCCCAACAGGGCCCCCCACCATGGCTGTGAGCCAACCACTCCTCTTTCTCGGGAGAATGAGGCATTTGCTCTTGTGTGGAACCTTTTGGATGTGTGAACAGTGAGGACTCAGAAGACCTAGAGGAAGAACCGTGACATTAGTCCTTGTGGTTTCCCATCAGCCAAGGATGTGCGCTGAGGGCCAGGTCGTGACCAGGTCACAGGAAGCCCCTTGTGTTCATGCTTCCTGAATGAGAAAGAAACACACCCACCAAGGCACTCCAAGGGCCTCCAACGGAGAAGCCAGCCCCGGGGTCAAGGCCCTTCCCCATGCTGGCTCCCTCTGTGTATCGTGAACCCGTTCTGAAGGGTTTATAAGGCAGATCTCTAAACTGCTGGTTCCAGCCGTGGCCAAGGGATGGCTCCGTTTCCCAAGAAATTTCTTCATTGAATAGAAGCCTGTTAGGCCTTGGGAATCCACTTTGCTCCTGCTCCTTGGCCTGGTGACCTCAGAGGACAGACTCCCAAGTCTAACGCCCGAGCTTACATATCCCTCCCATGGGTGCTCTGTCCGGGTTCAAAGGCGCTTCAAGGTGAGAAATCGTTAGCACTGAAAACAAGGAAAGGCAAGAATTTTTCATAGAATCCCACAGCTCAGAGCAGCTCTTTAAGAGGAAGGGGGGAGAAAGGAGAGAGGGAGAGTGGGGGCAAGCACGGCTTGTTCTCACTTTTATCCGAGGAAGGTTCTTTAGCGGCGCCTGGGCCCCGGGGCCCAGGACATAGACCAGGAAGGAATTGTCTTTGGTCAGTTCTAAATGAACATCTTGCTGGTTCATTCCTAAAACAGACTGAACATCGGTTACACGTAAAGACAAAATGCTTGACCTCAGGATAAGTCGAAGGTTAAATAAATCATTCTGTGAAGCAAAAAAAAAAAATAATAATTTAAACAAAAAATGCCCGTTATCGACAAACTGATCGGCACAGCTCTCAGCAATGGTGATGAACAAGTAGGTAAACACCACTTCCCCTTGTACAACTGGTTATATTGAGGACTACGAACTAGGTTACTACATTTCCCCCACACTCACTGTACAGTTAGGTTTCTCGTATTTGTTTTTTTTTTTTACATCGAACTATCTACTAGGTGCAGAGATTTGGTGAGTGGCTATAATTTAATTGTCGCCTTTTTTTTAAAAATTACGATTTCACATTTTAACAGTTACTTTCCAGCATTGAAGCAAAGACAGCAATATATAGTGGACTAACACAGGCAGGAGTTGGGAAGAGAATGCCAGTGCTGGGTGACTGTGGGTGGGGAGGGGTGCCTGTGGAGGGACAGAGACATGCAGAGTGCCAGATGAGGAAGTGGGGGGTACGGGGGAGGCAGAGAATGGGGGATGCAAGAAAGTATTTTTCCATTTGGCAATGCGTCAAGGCTCAGATTTGGGGCTGGATGAGTGAGGTGTGAGCTTCTCTAAATGTGAACTCATCCGCCTTTTCCCAATGGAAAAACAGGTGCTTAAAGAATGCAGCTACAGCTCTGCCTTCTGATAATTCAGTGAAAGGCAGGTCCATTCTCAGGAATGAAGTTAGTCAATTCAGAGGAAAAGCCACATGGTTGGACTGGTGTTATGTATTGATAGATCAGGCACCAGGTCTGTCAGCTCAGATTTTTCTCTTTGCGTCTGGTAGTCCTGGCAGAGAATGCTACATTTTGCACAGGAGGCAACTATATTTAAGGTCTGGGAGTATCTGTGGGGTAGGAATGAGATATCTTGTACCCTGGCTAGACAGGATAGCATCCTTGCAAATAAATGACTTCTGTGACTGACATGATCCCCTTTCTCAGGCACCTATTACATGGTGAGCACAGCCTAACCCAAGGTGTTGCTTTCTTTTCTAAGCTATAAAATGGGGACATCTTCATACTGCCCACAGAGGTGCTTGCTCTGAGGGGCTTTCATTTCCAGGGGCTAAGAGAACAGTTGGTTCTAGGCAAGACAAGGAAGATCAAGCTTGCCATTGTCTCTCCCTGGCATCCTCTTTTGGGGCCCTTGCTTGCTTCTTCCTTCCACTGTGTGCTCTCAATGTCAATGCTCAAGTGAGGCAGAAGGGCTTCCTGTTTCCTCACACCCAGGGATTAGTGGCTCAATAGGCCCCTCCCTCTGGAGGCAGTCACCTTTTTGCGGAAGACCAGAGGGCAAGGCAAGTCATCTAAGGGGTGAAGTGATATTGATGGAGTTTTGAGCATCTGTAGATGATATATCTGCAGGCCTGGGCTTGGGGATTTTATGAAGCTGGTAGAAAAATTCCACTGCCTACTCTCAAAAGCCATTAGGAGGTTTTAAAAAGATGGGTTTGAGCTAAAAGACTTCCCTAATGACAATAAAAAGAATAATCGTGTTGGCACAGTGCTTTCTAAACAGCTTACTCATTTACATTTTTATCCTTATTATCTTCATGTTATGGAGCAGGAAACTGAGACTCAGAGAGGTGCAGGGACGTGCCAGAGTCCCACAGCTCCCAAGTGGTGGGCGCTGGGACACATGGGACTTTTTATTCCTAACCACGGCCATGGACACACCCAGAGGCCTAGAGAAAGAGATGAAGCTTGAGAAGAATAGGGAGGAAACCCTTGGCTTGGCACGAAGGTGGTGAATAAAAGTGGTCCCGTTAGAATCTAGTTCATCTGTGTTCCATTACCCATCAGCAGCCATCTCTGGAAAACCAGGAGATGCAAGGAGGAAGCAAAATAGAATCGAGGGAGGGTGATGCAGAGGCCCTTTCCCAGCCAAGAGGGGAAAGCTTGCTCAGAATACTTGACGATCACAACCCCCCGCCCCCCAATTCTTTCACCGTGTTTCATGTACGTTAAATGCTCTGGGGAAGGTAGGTGAAAGGGAAGGGAAGGGAAGAGCGAGAGGGAAGCTATTTCACTTGCATAAACGCAACCTAAGCATTCTCTGGGACAGAAAGTGCCAAGGACCGCCCCCTCCCCAGCCCTGGGCACTTACGGTTCATGCATTTCGTGCAAGCGGGCACCAGCCAAAGTGCGTCATGGCCTGATTTTTAATGAAAACGATGTGACTCAGAACCTCCTTGCCTGTTTAGTTCCACATCTGACACAGTATAATTAGTAGAAAGAGGAAAGGAAAAAAAAATTAAATATTTTGAAAATTGTGTAAGTTAAACCTCTATAGTTACCAGAATTATTCCTACAGCGTTACTAGGTTTTGAAGTGTTCCATACCACTGTGGTCTTATTTATTTTTTTCCCCTTTTCCCAACCACACATCACACTGTGCTATGATGGGGCTTAGGTTCTCATTACCCCCTTTTCTACGCACAAACACACGGATGCTGTGGTCGGAGGGTCTTTCTGCCAACGTCCTCCTGTGCCTTTGGGGGTACAGTTGGTCCTTGGCCTTCGGGTGGAAAGGCAGGGTCTCTGGGTTGGACAGGGGGTTTCCCCACCTCTAGGAGCAGCCTGCTCGGGGACTGCCTACCCCACCCTTCGTTAGGGGCAGACTGTTCTGGAAGGCCACGGCTTCTGGAGACAGTGGGAGACTGTGTTTTTCTGCAGCTTAGTGGTATATTGCTTCGTCCGCAGTTACTGTGGGCCTCTAAGTTCTCCCAGAAAAAGTCCCTGCACATCCCACCAAATAACAGCGGGAGGTGTTTGGTGGCATGGGTCTGAGGTAAATCTAAGTTTCGTAAAAAGAAAAAAAGGAGATCCTATATACATTTAGTATGTGTCCTGACCTAGTTATATGTATATAGATGCATAAATATATATATATATGTACACACACCTACAGACACATACATACATAGATATGTGTGTATAGCACACATATACATATATACACACATATTTATGTATGTAGTAGAGAGAATGTCGAGAGGATCGTTTTCCAGTGACGATATGCCAGCGAAATCGCTTAACATGTTGCCACCACCTAAGGACACGCTCTAGCTGGGGCTGCTCTGCTCCCGCGCCTGCTCCAGCTCCAGCTCCAGCTCCAACTCCAGCTCCTGCTCCTCTGGCCTCTGTCACACCCGCCAGCTGGATGGAGCTGCGGCCAGCGCCGGGTCTCAGCTCGGCACAGACCTTTCAGGCTGACCCCTGACCAGGAGCACTGAGAAGGGTGTGGAAGTCACAGAGGCCCCCGGCCATGGTGTGCCCCAGCCTGCCTGCAGGTCACATGGTGCCCGACTTGTCCGCTGAGCTGTTGGGGAACATCTTCTCGGTGGGTGTCACGGCCGGGCTGCCCACCCCTGAGCTGCTGCTGCTGCTGGAGCGGTGCTGGACGGCGGGCCGCACGGGCCGCACGGGGGGCGGGCGCAGCTGGGCGCCGGCCAGGCGGGCGGACAGCGCGGGCTTGAAGGTGGTCATCATCTCCGCGGAGGAGCTGCAGCCGCGCCGCACGGCCGCGTCGGGGTCTCGGATGACGATGGTGTGCAGGGGGCTGGCGGGCTCCGAGCTGGCGGGGCCGGGCGGGTTCTTCAGGGGCTCCAGGGTGTCCAGCACCACGTCCGGCGCCTGCTTGACCGTGTTCTGCCTCTCGAGTTCCCGCAACTCGTGCAGAGCCGTGCTCATGGTCTTCTCTATGTCCTGGGGGCAGAGAGGGCTCCGGTCAGCACCCAGGCTGGAGGCCTGGGGCCAGTCCTTCCTGGGCAGCGTGGGACAATCTGAGGGAGGTTTCCCCAGGGGCCAATCGCTGGGGTGGAGACTGAATCCCCAGGGAATCCACATGGTTGTGACCTGCACTCTGCCCGAACAGGAAGCTAACAGTGAGGGCTAGTCAGACAGCTGGCTAAGAAAGGCAAGCTCTGCAGCCAGGCAGACGTGGGTTCAAATTCTGGCTTTGCCACTTCTTTACTGCATGACTTGGACAAGTCACCTCAGCTCCCTGAGCCTCGGATTGCAGATCATTAGAATACAGACCTCGGGGCTGGGTGAGTATGAAATGAAATGGTCCCTGTGAAGAGCTCGGCCTGACCCGTGGCACACAATGAGCGCTCACACTGCACTAGGCCAAGCCCTGCCACGAATAATTCAGTCCATCCCCATACCTATAAGGTAGGAACTACCATTAAGCTCATTGCACACATGGTTGAGTAACTTGCCCAAGGTCACACAGCTAATTAGTCACAAAGTCTAAGTCTCAACCCAGGCAGTCTGTCTCCAAATTCCATGCCACTAACCATTATTATTATTTTTAAAAATCCTTGCCCATAGAAAAATTCCTTGGAAGTTAAATATCAGAATGTTCACTTCAAAGTGATGGGACTTTTACTTTCTTCTCTGTTATAATCAGAAACTTTTGATTTAAAAAAACAAAAACAAAACGGAGGTCTTATAAAGCAACAAAAATCTTTATCTGCCTACGAAATTTCCTAGAAGTTTTAAGATTTAAGCTCATAAGGATGAGAGTGCTTTGAATGACATAGAGTGAGATCATGGCTGGCTGAGGACTGCCTTGTGAGCAGAGGAGCTCTTTGTCAGCCTGGGGTTCATCGCTATCTCTTCCAAGGCCTCCATTCCCCTTCCAAGCCAGTAGGGGGTGCTAGAGCTGGAGCTGGAAATCAGCATTTAACTCAAGAGCCCTAGGCCAGGGTATAGGGCTGGGACTTTTGACAAAGACTCCTTTACCACTTGCAAGTCTCAGTTGCTCAGCACCATATTTTGTTCATCTGTTGAAAGCCCACAAGATTATTGTGAAGATGGAATGAGACAATGGATGTGATGAAGCTTTGTAAACTGCCAGACAGTGGTTTTAACGTCCCTTTAGCCAGAGTCCTTGGTCCACATAAGAGAGCTGCTCAGGCTGGGCTGGGCCACTGAGGGGACAGTTAATGATACTGCTTAAAACCACTGTTGGAAGGTCTGTGCATAGCCTCAGTAACAATGATGACTATTAAGACTCACTGCTAAAAAAAAAAAAAAAAAAAAAAAGACACTGCTTTTCTGCCAGGGGCAAATCTGGAAAACCTACAGGTCTGGTCAGATTACTGGGATTGGAGCCTGGAAATGTCCTGGCTGCCCCTCTCCATACTCACCTCTTTTACCTCTACCCCTCCTCCCCACTGGTGCATGAATTCATGTACCAGGCCTCTAGTCTATATATATAAAGGTCTAAGCAACAAGCCGACCAGCCGGTAGCTATGACACTCAATGGCCACTAGGGGGCAGATGCTCAATGCACAGGCATGGAAACATGGAACTTATGTGCATACTAGAGGCCAAGTGCACGGATTCATGTACCAGTGGGTCCCTCAACCTGGCCTGCGGAGATTGGGCCAAAACCAGCTCTCCGACATCCCCTGAGAGGTCCTGTATTGCAAGAGGGCGCAGGCCAAGCTGGAGACCAAGCAGGGACCTCACCAGTGCACAAATCCATGCACTGGGCCTCTAGTATTAACATAAAGCTAATATTAGCTTTTAGGCTTCCCCATAATACTGGCTCCTTTAAGAAGGGGTCTTTGGGCCTTTACCTACAGGATTAGCTGTGGGGGGTTTTCTGCAGGAGGGAGAGAGGGCAGTTTCTCCCATCTTTGCCTTCACCCAACCCTGCAGGGATAAAGCCTGCTTTCAACACCCCACTCTGCTTAAATTAACTCCTCTACTGACATCACTACTCTTTGTTTGCTCTTCTCCAGTGTGAGCTGAAAGGTAAAACTTCAATAAATAAAGTGCAATTATTGCCCCTCAACCCCCATCCCTCCACCACTACCACTCTACCCTGGCAGAGTGTGAGCCAGAAAGACAGAAAGCTCAGAGAAAGATCAGCTGAGTAGTTTAGGCAGGAGCCTGGCATTAGTCTGAGGGGTGAAGCCGTGATCTCCAGAGTGCAGCTGCAGAGAGGTGCTGAGGGGTCATGGACTTCCAGGGGTGGGGTGGGAAAAAAATACTTTTCAGCTCCTCCCAAATTACATCTTCCCACTTTGGATGGCAGTATAGCAAGTTCCTCAAACAGCTTCTTCCCTGGGTTCAAATCTAAGTCCTAAAGGGTATTTTGTGACCAGAGAATTTCGAGTAACTGCATTGACCACTTGGTATTTCCTTGCCACAGCTCCTTTTTTGTAGTCTGAGAAATCAGCACCAATGCTGAGCAGGCTGGAGGCCATCTAGCGCCCCCTTTTGGCTATTTACATATTACCTACCATACTTTCCCATTTCACTTCTATCCATGAAAGGAGCTTTTGAATGGCAGCTATCAAATTAGAGAGTGTGTAGGTATGTTTACTAAGGGAGAAAAATGCATAAAGCACTTCCCAAGTGTATTCATTCTTTAGGCTTGCCTTATGAATGTGCTGTGAATAAAGCTCAAAGAAGTCTGGGTGATGGGGTGTGCCCTCTTCTCATTCTTAGAGATTCATAATACACATATTTCAACATACTTAAAGGTTCTAAGAAATCTTGTAGACAAGTCATTCAAGTTTGTCACACAGGAATTCCCCAAAGCTGGTTGACAATAAAACACATTTCCTCCACTCCCCCCATTAATATCCTGTGAACTAGTCTGCACTGGCCTAGACTGCAATGTGTTTGATTGTTTATGTTAAGGGCTCTGGGCCTTGGGGAGCCCAATCCCCGTCCTGGCTCTTACTAGAGCTTCGGGTAATGGGGGATGCTAGGGTGATGCTCCCCAAGGGGACAGCCTTCAAGGATGGAAGGACCAGCCGAAACCGGTTTGGTTCAGTGGATAGAGCATCGGCCTGCAGAATGAAAGGTCCGGGGTTCGATTCCGGTCAAGGGCATGTGCCTCGGTGGCGGGCACATCCCCAGTGGGGGGTGTGCAAGAGGCAGCTGATTGATGTTTCTCTCTCATCGATGTTTCTAACTCTTTATCCCTCTCTCTTCCTCTCTGTAAAAAAATCAATAAAATATATTTTTAAATAAAATAAAAAAAGAATGGAAGGACCAGCAGATCTTCCTCTGTGGGACCATGGTGCTGATCTTCAAGTATCCCTCAGGAGTGGGCATCAGGACATGGGGCCAAGCTAGACCTGTGGGTGTGAGCAGAGGTTCTAGCTGCTGGGTGAGTTGTCTCTTCATAGATTTCCCCCGGGGAACCGTTCCTGTCTCCTCTAGAGCACAGCCCCCATGCCCACAACCTTCCCTTTCCCCTTGTACCAGGGATTTAAATGCCACTCTCTAGGGAGCAATTCTCACAGCCAAGAAGGTTCTGGCTGCATCTCCCTTCCAGCATCAGTTGTTTATCCACCCAACCTCTGTATCTCAGGTCATATCCCCATCTCCACCCCAGCGTCAGCCATTTATTCCATTTATCCTCTGTGTCTCAGGTCATAGACCTCTACCCCCCAAGGAAGTCTCTCCTCCTCTGAGCAATCCCCTCATTTTAGGCTCTCAAAATATCATGAACCACTCTTTCAAAGAATCTGGCCCAACTGCCATTCCACAGCTGTGTTACTGGTTGATATCTCTCTCTTCTCTAAATTGGGAAGGGCCTGGGTCCATTCTAGGTCATCATTGTACTCTCAGTGCCTAGCCCAGTGATTGTCTCACAATAGGTGCTCAATCAATATTAGCCAATGAATGAAATGAATGAATGAACAGACAGATGAATGAATGAATGAATGAATGAGTGAATGAATAACTCAGTTATGCCATCTCATGAAATCACCTTCCATTCCTACATCTCCAGCTGCCAGCCCTTCTCTTAGACAGGAATTGCCCCTCCATTCCTGAAGACTAAAGGGAGGGGGGGTCTTCTGTCTTCACAGGGACCCTAGCCAGCAGCAGCACCCATCCAACTTCCATTCCCATGGGGCGGCCAGCAGGCAGGTGGGAAGCCAGCTCCCTATCTCTCTTGTGTCCTGGCTTAGCCTTAAGCCTGGCATTAAGGGCAGAGTGGCCCCCACAGTCCACAAGTCCCCACCCGGCTCCCCCTCTGGGGGTGTCCGCTGGCCCAGCCTGCCTTCCTGGGGGCCCTTACTTCTGCCAGGGCCTCAGCCTCCAGGGACTTGTGGTCCCCCAGGCTGCTGTGCCTGGTGGAGCCGCACGTCGACCTCACGGAGTGCCCTTCTGAGAGCGCCTTCTTGTCACAGTAGTTGATGCTGCCAGCGCTCCCGAACGTCGCCATCCTCCGCTTCTCGGGGCTCTCGATCCTGCCCCGGGTGAGGGGGATTTTGTGGGGGCTGCTGGGGCAGGCGGCGGCCCGGGGCGGCGTGTCTATGCTGGGGCCCAGGCCCCGGGGCGGGCTGTGTGTGTCGCCCCCGCTTCGGCGCCTGGGAATGGCTGCTCCATCAGATCGTAACCGCACTCTGCAAAGGAGCCAGGGGGCGGGGGCATGGGGCAGAGGTCAACCCTGGCAATCAGAATGAGTCAGTCAACCCCTAGGCTACTATGCACTACACACACTAGTCACTAGTCTAGCCAGGGTATAGTAAAGCCTCCTTCAGACAGACTGCGATTCCACACGAAAGCACCGGCTGCGCACGGACCTCACCGGCAGGGGACAGGCTTAACCCGCACACAGGAGGGAAGCAGAGCCCTGTTTCCAAGCTGCAGAGCGTGGTGCTAATTCCACAGTGAAGCTGTTACGTAAAGGCCAGAGGATTTCATCCCCAGACTGCTCTGGTCATGGTTAGTTGGGCTTGAGATACTTGCTTAAGCAATTCAGACATCGATGGTGTAGGGCTTCTAACTGGTCTGAGGCATTGAGGCTTTACTGTACCCAAAGTTACCAGCTCCTCTGCAAGCACAGGAGGGAACAGAACCCACCCCAACCTCCCCAGCAAAGGGCTACTTCTAAGAGCCTTTCCCAGATCTTGGGAAACAAGTCATCCAAGAGGGAAAAGTGCATCATTGAACATGCCTTCCATGCGTGTGGACAAAAGGGACACATGAGGGTGAGTCCTTATCCTGCTGTCACTAACTTCCCAGAGTCCTCTCTGAGGCCCATTTTATTAATCTATCAAATGGGCATAACATTCCTTGCCCACCTCTGAAGGAGGTTCAGTGGGTGTGGAAGCACTTTGAGGATAAAAGGCTCCACCTACTGGAGATTTTGCTACATCCCATGGAGGCCACCAAGGAGGGACAAAGCTGCCGTATACCCGGGCGGTGGGGAGCAGGGACAGAGTGTGGGAATGGATTTCAACCAGGGGACCAAGTTCAATGTGGTCAGCAGCGCTTTAGATCTTAATGCCACCAGCCAAGCTAAGCACTGTCTGTGGGTACCCCAGCAGGACCAAAGCAGAGGCGCTAGAGAGGAAGAGGTATTGAGAAAAAAAAGAACAAGGAGGAAGTAGGTGAGGGAGGGAGAGGAAAATTAAAGCAGGAGAAGATAGAAATGCCCTCCCCACAACCCTAGAAATCAAGGGACCATGACTTTGTCCTCTACCTACCCGAGCTTTCCACTCTCCCTCCCAATTGTATCATCTATCCCAGGACCCGAACTGTTGTCTCCACTGAATAAAAAATGCTAAAGGAGGCACTGGGACTTCTGAAATAAATTCATAAATGTATGTTTCCATTGTGGCAGAATTTTTTTGGCTCTATTTGCAAATACTCATATGTGTAGGCTGGTCCCCTGACCTCTCCATCGAGTAAACAAAGAAAATTACATGTTGAGAACCTCATTGGGAAAGCAGTGAAAACGGTCAGGTTTTTGGTCCTTTCTTTTCTTTCCCTTAATATTATTAGTTTTTAAAGTACCACATCCTTTGGACCACACCTGTATGCAGAATAAGGAGCACAGCTCCCTTCTTGGCAGAAGGGTCATGTGACACAGCCTGGCCTACACATGGAGAGTAAAGAAATTGGCAAATGTGCTCCCACCAGATAAGTGGGTGGAGTCGAGTGTCAATTTTCCCCACACTTGAGGGGGTGTGAGTCTTCTGTTTATGTAGCACACTTCAGGGAGTATATGAGCTTTAAAAATTTAAATATAACTACTTGGATCTTCAACAGAAAGTGGAGGAGGTGCAAGAACTAGGGTGAGAAGTTGGAAAAATACTTGCCAATTTGTAAATCTCTCCTCCACCATTTATTATTATTATTTTTAAGTGAAAAGCACTGATTTGCCAAGATATGTCTTTCTTCCTCCTTGCTCAATGTCACCTGTGGGGAACAGGGACCACAACAGCCTTTTCCAGATCTTGGGAAACAAGTCATCCAAGAGGGAAAAGTGCATCATTGAATATGCACTTCCCTTCCTCCTGCCCCCCTTGTTTTTCCCAAATCAGATACCAACAGGCATGGCGCTAGCAGAACAACAACAACAACAAAAATGAATCCGTGTTTCCTACCGGCCCATCACCCCCCCAAAGCCGTAATCCGAGATGTGGTCCGTGGGGGACTGGAGGTCGTTCTTGGAGGAGGCCTTGTCGTCCAGCAGTGGCCCACTGCTGGCCTCACTGTCCGCCTTCTGGCTGAGGCTGTCGGAGAAGGCATCATCCCTGGGGAGAAGGACAGATGTGAGCTGGGAGTGCTCCAGAGGATGTGCTGGGCTCTGCTGGGTCAACATACACCTCAAGGCGAAGGGACGCCCACAGCTCTGGGTGAGCCACCTCCCATGCCCTGTTTCAGCACCATGCACCGGCGCCCCTAAGTCAGTTTCTCCAGCAGAACTTCTTCCTCTGACCCACCATTCCTTGCCTATCTTCTCCTCTACCCTCTTCTAGGTTCTTTTTCTCTCCCAGGGGTGAGGACAAGCTAAATGCCTGATGGTGTGTTGAGAATGGGGGGAGGATCCTGCAAGCTGTGCTCTAGCGCTGACTTTCCACGGGGCTCTGTGAGGAGTGTTTCAGGGCTACGTAAGGGAGGGAGAAGGTGCCGCCATCCTTTCCCTCTTCACCCAAGGCTTGAACCGTGAGGTGGCTGGAGCTAGTTGGAGTTCCCTGCCAGCCTCCTCCCACACCCTCTCCCTTCCAGTGCCCTGTCCCATGTCCACAGAGGCCTGGGGACATCAGAGTGCCAAGAGCCCTCCCCTGTGGCATTCCTCGTGAGCTATGCCCATTCCAGACTTCTCTGGCTTCAGACCGTCTCCTCTGCTACCAAAACTTTGCCTTTGGCTCCTTCCCTTGCAGGCTAGCTTGGTGGCTGCTTCCTTGATAAATCAGTTCCACCGAGCCTGACCAGAGCTCAATGGGAGTGTGTGTGCAGGAACCCCAAAAGCTTTCAGAGAATGGAAGGTGTGGACTTTCTGGGTCTCTGGTAGGGCTAGTATTTGGGATGCAGGGCCTTTTTTTAAGGCCTGAAATTGTTTAAAACAAAATAATATCTATAGACACAGGGAACAGATAGGTGGCTGTCAGAGGTGGGCAGTGGGGAGCAGGAAGGGAGAAGTGATAAAGGTGAAGAGGGTCAGAAGGTAAAAATTTTCAGTTACAAAATAATTAAGTCCTGGGGATGTGATGTACAGCATATTTATGTAGCACATTATTTATGCATTGCATATTTGAAAATTGCTAAAAGAGGAGATCTTAAAAGTTTTCATCTCATATGAAAAAATTATAACTATGTATGGTGATGGATGTTAACTAAATTTATTGTGGTGATTATTTTGCAACATATAAAAATGTCAAGTCGTTATCTTGTACACCTGCAATTAATATAATGTGGGGGTGATTGTTCCTGCTGTCCCCTGAGAACGCCACCTCAGGGGTGGAGGATGGTGGGGCCAGTTAAGGGTGTGGTGGGCTGGCCACTGGCTACACGGAAGGCCAGGAGAGTGAAGGCATGTGGCAAGACCCGCTGGACGCTGAGACCCATGTGGGTGATGAGTGATCTGGAGGCTGTCAGGTGGGTCAGGAAGGGGACCAAGGGCACCCAGGCTGGCTCCATGTGCTCTGAAGTGTGAGCAGTTTGCTTATTTGTTAACAGGATCACCATTTAAGGTAGGGGTGTCGAACTCAATCAGAGAAGGGGCCAAAATCTAAAATCCAGCCTAAATCGCGGGCCGAATGGTTTACTGAACAGTCATAAACTGTCATTATGATGGAAACGCAGTGGAGTGCAGTGATGACAGTGCGGTGCGGGCCACATTGCAAGGCCTGGCGAGACGGATTTGGCCCTCGGGCCTTGTGTTTGACACATGTGATTTAAGGGGATCTGTTCTTAAAAGACCAAAGATAATTATATCAGTTGAGAGCACATCCCTGGTATATGACCCAGCCCTCCCCTTCCTGTGCCCAGTCTAGACATCACTAATCGATTATGGCATTCTTCACTGTAGGGTCCAGCTCCCACTCACATGTCCTGTACGACTATGTACTGATGTGGGATGAGTCCATCCACGCCATTGTGACGACCTTCCCACCAGTCCTCTGAGGCACGGTGGTACAACAGCAGCGAGGCCCCCTTCTTGAAGGACAGCTCACGTGGGGACCGCCCCACGTAGTCAAACTTGGCGATGGCCTCAATCTGTTCCACTTCTGGAAGGAAAGGAAGAAGAGCATCCATAAGGTCAGCAGAAGGATAGCCCGGGAGCCTTGCTCAGATGGGCCTGGCTTCTAGGGGTCAGCATAGACAGCAAGCCCAGTGCAAACAGCGTGGGTTGGGGTCAGGACCCCAGGGTTCCAGGCTCAGATCCACTCTCCCAGGCTGTGACCTCAGGCTGGCCGGCTAACTTCTCAAAATGGAAAGAGGGGGCTGACATATATGTCCTTAGTTTCCACTGCTCTTTTTGTTCTCTATCTTAAAAACACTTAACAACATTGTAAGAAATTTATTTTCCTTCTACCCCTTAAAGTGCCTGGGGCAGCCTTCTGTGCGGAGCGGGTTTTGGACAGTTAAGTCAGCTTTTCCCAGCTGGCTCCCTGACAAATGTCTTTAAGTCCTATCCTAACACAACTGATGCAGAATGACAGCACAGCTAAATGGGTCAAATGCCTCAGATCCTGACCAAGAGTCACCTTTTCGGAAAACTGGAGAGATCTCCGTCCTCCTCTGCCTCTTTGACTCTTTTCTGAGCCAGCCACGTGCTAGCGCTGCCTGCAGCCCAGCTACAAAGAGCAGAAAGGCCAGAGGGACTGCAAGGCAGGAGCTGAACCCTGCTGGCTGGCGGTGCTCTGGGCTTTCACCCCAGGGCGTCCTCTGAGCCAGCCTATTCAGCTGATAAAGCAGCAGGCCTGAGCAGAGCTTAGCTCCTGCTAGGAGCAGCACATAGGAGCTGCCTTGGGTAGCTGGGGTAGTTTGATGCTGGGGTGTAGAGGTGAGGGGGCAAGGGAGGAATGGGAAATGTTAGAGAAAGAAAAGGAAAAATGGGAGGAGCAAAGTTGAGCCCCAGCTGAGCGCGAACACGTGTGCAGATGCCATTATGTAAGTGTGTGTGGTGGGAACAGTAATAGCAGCTACCAGTTATTAAGAAAGCCATTATTTGGGTCTACTAGTACAATATCTAAATAAAGTATGTTATTCTCCCTTGCACCGTCCTCCCACACACCCCTCACCAAACTTATTGAATTCTCTCATCTTCCCCAGTTAGGAAATAGAACCACCTTGCTCACTGGCTCAGGCCAAAGCCTTTCAGTTGCTCTTGAGGGTCCCGCATCTCACCTATAAGCATCCCCTTGCAGCTATCCCCTGAGTCTGAACAGTCTCACCACCTCCACTGCCACTGTTGTCCCTCTACTTGGCCTCCTGGCTTTTAGTTTTGTGTGGGGAGCCATTTCTCCCCACAGCAGCCAGACCTGGAGAGCATTATGCAAAGTGAAACAAGCCAGTCAGGAAAAGACAAGTACCATATTATTTCAATTATATATATATGAATATAATGAACAAAATAAACTAACAAACATAATGGAGACAGATTTCTGGATACAGAGAACAGCTGTTAGAAGGGAGTGGGTTGGGGGCTCTCTGAGAAGGGTAAAGGGATTAAGCAAAGAAAAAGAAAAAAAGAAAGACTTGTGGACATAAGTATGGTGATTGCCAGGGGGAAGAGGGGAGTGGAGAGGTAGAAGGTACAGGGGGGATAAATGGTGTTGGAAGGAGAATAGACTGGGGGTGGTAAACATACAATATCTGAAACCTATATAATTTTATTAACCAATGTCAGCCCCATGAATTCAATTAAAAACCATAAATTAGATCATGAAACCCTCTTGCTCAAATCCCTCGGAAGGCTTCCCTCTATGCTTGGAACAAAACCCACATGTCCCACAGTAGAAACACAAGATCAGTAAGAGAACCGCTAAGGAGTGATTTATAAAAGAGCAGAAGTCTCGCAGGGAGGCAGGAGGGCTGTGTTTGGTCTATAGTGGCCGTGCCATGACTCTCACAGGCACTCTGCACTTGTATTTGCATGGCTCTCTTCCTCCAGTAAAAAAAAAAGTTAAAATTATATTTACAACTGTATTGGCACAAAGATAAATATAGTCCAAGCTGAGTCATATTCATTTTTTTCTTACTTTAAAATAAATTAGAACATTTTCAAGTGTTTTGGGCCCGGGACACTGTGCCTTCTGTGCCTAATGGACATGTGGCCCTGGGCCTGTATTATCCAGGTTGCTTATCTGCACAGTCCAGGTTCCCGTGAGACTAACCTGACTCTCTTCTCCTTGTCTAGAATGGTGGAAGGGCCCAGTGAGCCATCAGAAGCTGGGCTGGCCCTTCCCTCCCTCCCTCCACTTTCCTGGGCCATCCCTGTTAGGCTTTGTGTTCAGGCACCCACCGCTCTGGGGGTGCAGCTGCAGTCTGGCATTATCGCTTTGTGTCCTGGGGAGCTGCTCCCAACCTGTCAGGTGATGAGAATGCAGGTCCCCAGCGACCCATGTCTAGTTCATCGACATACCCCAAGTCCCAGCTGTACAGAACAGATCCCTGGTTGGGGAGAAATGGAGGGACACAGCATGCTTCCTACTTAGGAAACTTTTGTCACTTCGGATTTGGACTTGGATCAACAAGGACACAGAGAGGAATGAGGCAGCCAGGTAGGAATGTGATACATGGAATGCACAAGCCTCCGAGGTCTTTCTGAGTCCCCATCTATTCTGGGGACGATGTGCTGACTTGCAAAGCTAGAGGGTTATGTGGCCAGCCCAGCATTGAGCAGTCCTGAGCCAACATGTGAGGCCCCAGATGGGTTCCTTGGTCCCAGATTTCCCCCCACTCACCTTCATCACTGGTGTGAGGTTCAGTGCCATTGTCATGGTCAACTTCATCAATGGTCCCTGGCTCACTGTGTGGGCTATCACTGCAAAGAAACATGGAAAGGGGACTCGTTGGGGGGCTTTGTACCCTCATGCTGCCCTTAGCCTCCCTCAGGCACCAGCCCGGTCTACCTCGGGCTTTGACCAGATCAGGGCCCACTTGGTCCCTTCTTCTTCATCTGACCACCCATGGACCTTCCTTCCCAAGAGAAAACCTCTTCAGCCTCCTATTTGGGAAGCTTCCCTGTATAATCTTCCCCAGATGACTCAGCCCTGGAATTAGCTGGGCTGTTTTCTTGGTGAAGGTTGTCAATACCAAGGTGTTCTGTAAGATCCAGAGAGCAGTGGCAAAACCCTGGCTTTTATCCTTAGAAGAACCACAGGGTAGGAAGGACTTTTGGAAGTACTGGGAGTCATTCATTTAGCCCTGCTCCCTGTCTTATGTGAGAAGTGACACATCCAGCAAGGTGGAGTGATGTTCACGAGCAGGGGTTCTCAGTGCTGCCTTAGGATGCTGGGTGCAAACGCCCAGCCCATCCCAGCTGGTGTGAGCAGGCCAGCACCCATGATGGACAGGGTGACACAGTGAATCCAGGCCGGTCAAATTTAGTCCTTAACGCACTGGCACAATTTCACCAGCTGCTTCCCTCTCACAAGGTTGAGCCAGCCTTCATGCACACAGTGGTCAGTCAGTTTTTTTGTTTGTTTGTTTTTTACCGAGCCATCGTTTGAGTCTTAATATATGCCTGACACTGTGCTAGGTACAAGGGATACATTGATGGGTCAGATGGACACAGACCCACCCTCATGGGGCAGAAAATAAAACTGCAAGTGGAGCTAAAACCAGTTTGGCTCAGTGGCTAGAGCGTCGGTCTGCGGACTGAAAGGTCCCAGGTTCGATACCGGTCAAGGGCATGTACATTGGTTGCGGGCACATCCCCGGTGGGGGGTGTGCAGGAGGCAGCTGGTTGATGTTTCTCTCTCATTGATATTTCTATCTCTCTATCTCTCTCCCTTCCTCTCTGTAAAAAAAAAAAAAAAAAAAAAAAAAAAAAAAAAAAAATCAATAAAATACATTTAAAAACAAAACAAAACTGCAAGTGGAAATATTTTATGTAGGAACAAATGAACAGAGACAAGAACAGCAGAGGGAACCTACATAGGGTGGTCGGAGAAGGCTTTTCAGAGTAGGTGACATTTGCAATACCATTTAAAGGAATATAGATTTTATGAAAACTCTGTTGCCTCCTAGATAAGGCCCAGATTCTGCACAAGCGCTTAAGCTCCTGCTGTCCCCCAGAGCATTCTCCCTCACCACCTCCTTGTCATAGGAAACATTCCAGACACACAGAGCTGCTTTCCATGTTATTGAATGCTCTGTGTGTAGAGCATTCTTCACCCACTTCTCCCCTGGCTGACTCCAGGTCATTCTGTAGGTCTCAGTTAAGTCCCTGTGTCTTTCAGGAGGCATTTCCTGACCTCCCTACATAGGCTCAGGGGACTCCACTTCTGGAACTGCCTATTCCCTCCTCCACCAGAGCTGCCTGCATCAGGAGTTAATCCTGTTCAGGGCACATTCCTCCCCCTTCTCCACCCCCCTGCCCAGGGCCTGAGCCAGGACAGATGTTCAGTAACCATTTGTTAATCAGTAAATGTTGTCCACTATGATGAGACCCTCAGTCAAATCCCCCTTTAGGGCTTTGAAAATGTCTCCATAATTACCATGTAATTGACAGTTTTCCTTTCTCATGGGATGCAAATGGGATTAAGAAAAGTGTGGTGATTATATATTGTTCTTTGATAAGCACCATACCATCTTTTTAAGGACCCTTTCCAGAACACTATATATATATATATATATATATATATATATATATATATATATATATATATTACAACAAAAACAGAGAACTGGTAATGGTACAAAAACTTGAAAAGCTTCTCTGTCCAAAAAAATGCTTGCTGGTTCTTCAATGTGCCTGTAATAGAACAGGGACAGACTTGCTCCTGGGGCCTCGAAGGAGATTAGAGAGCTGTGACTAGATAATACCCGGGCTGTCTCTCTGTGCGGGGAAGTGTAATGGGGAAATGGGCTGGAATGGCTCCCTTCTTTGAAGCAGTTGCCCAAATATGCCTTCAGAACTAAAGCGATTCAAGAATCTGGGAAAGCTTTGACAATCAAAAGACAAATTCCTGCAGGCACCTGGCTCAGAGCAGTGCAGGCAATGCTAAATATATAGCTGTGTATTGTCCTGGGTTGGGGATAAAGAAAGAGTGAGAACCCTTTGACTGGTCTCTGTCAGCCCGTGTTCTAAATCTTCTGTCTTTTCCACATTAAAAAATTTCCTGTCTTACCACATTTAAGGTCTCAGCCTGGGGTAGGTAGTTGGTCCTGTTTTTGATAAGATTCTGACATATTTCTCCCCTGACCTAGTGTAAGTGCCCAACTAGCAACTGTTGACCTGGTGTGGAGCTCTCAAAGACTGGCTTCACTTTGCTGGAAAAGAAAAGTCCTGGTGGACAGGGACAATGGCAGAAGTGTCACTCTCAGTTCGTGAGTTTGAGGTGAGATCATCCAACTTCCCTGCTACCTGAGATGGACTTACAACTCACCTGGCCAAGGACAGCATTGGATCTGCTAACCAATGTGATTAGTTCACCAGACTCAAGCCCCAGCAAGGAGACATCATTCTTGAGCTTGTGTTGGAACATTTGAGAAGGAGAAGCTCTTTTCCCACTGGGGATGCTGAGAGAATGGGCTCTAAATCTGGAGTTACCAGATGCCACCAGGAAAAAGGCTGCCTGAGAATGAGGCCAACATGGAAGAAAGAGGAGCCACAGGCTGAGGATGGCAGGACGAGTCCTGATGATAATAGTTGAACCCCTGGATCTAGCTATACCTGATGCCATGATCCAGACTTTTTAAGTAAACCAATAAATCCCATTTAGTTTAAACCAATTTGAGTTGTGTTCCTGTCCCTTATAAATCAATAGAGTCTGGACTGATGCATCTATCTCATGTCAGCCTGCTGTGAAGCTGAAATGAGAGTGCAGACTATAAAGCAGTAAGAAAATTAAACGGTTTCTTACTGTCCCCGTTCAACAGTAACAACATGATAATAATAGTATTAAGAGGAATGGAATAATAATATGAAGAGGAATGGAATCTTACCAATATTCTTCCCCTCCAGCCATGCATTTTTCATACACGGGTCCTTCTAGCTCTCGAGGGCTGGGGAAGATGGCTTCATGATGGATGATGATGGTTTTGATGACTTCATTGACATGTGCCTGGCAGGACACAGGGTCCTGCCCATCAGGAATGTGCATGAGGGTGGGCCCGAAGCAGATGGCCAGGTTGTAGGGATCCATCATGTTCTCGTCACTGTACTGCGAGAGGCTGTAAGAGAGGAGGGTCCCACAGGTCACCTAGGAAAGGGGAAGCCTCCCCCTGTGATTTCTTTCTCTTGAAGGCTCCACTCAAATCTGGGAAGGTTCCATGTTCTAAGAACAGCTACACCTGCAAAAGTCTCAGTACTTCCCTCCCAAAGGAGGCCAGGCTGAGTCAAAAAGGGGCATACCCCCCTCCCCGCCATCCCACCCCTCACTGCTGGACAACTCACTGGTTGAGGAAAGCGAAGAGATATCTCATGACCACGATGACCACACGGGGAAGGGTGATGAGGATTTGTTGGATCTGGTGCACCCTCTCAGCTGGGCTCTCCAGTTCTGCAACATAAAGGGGCTTTCAGGTTGTCTGTCATCCTCAGAGAGCCAAGCAGTCAGCATTTGTGAGTCCCACCTCCTAGATCAGTTCAGGGGAGCCAGCTCTACTCAGTTCTGGAGACTGAAATATGACCCTGGCCTGGTCAATCAAAGCATCATATTCTTCTGGCCTCTGAGTAGATCTATGGAGGGGTACATGACCTAATTAGAACCAATAGCAGTTGATCCTTGGGACTTGGGACTGGAGAAACTTAGAGAGAGGCACCCTCTTGAAACTGGGTAGAGGGGAGTGTGAAGCAGCTGAGGGACTCCAGGGAAGAAGATCCTGCCTGAAAGTGAAGACAGCATAGAGACAAGGGGACAAAGTCCTGATGATGCCATGAGAAATGTGCATCCAATGAGGGCCTAACTTTCCAGGAACGTGAGCCAAGACATTCCCTTTTCTGGATTAAGCCAGTATAAGTTGAGTTTCTGTCCCCTGTAACCCATGAGTGCTGATTAAGCTTCCCATTACCCAAAGGGAAAATCTCTGGAACCCTTGCATGGCATTTAAGGTCTACCCCTCTTGCTCCATTGCACCTTTCCAGCCTCTTGCACTATATATATCACTCTCAGCTTTGATCTGGAAACTAAGTCTTCCTCTCTTCTCTTCTGAGCTCCTTCCATACCCAGGGGTGTACCATGTCCATGAACTCTTGCATTATAATCCACCTTGTTATTTCTACAACTAGATTTTAAGCTCTATGAGGACAAGGGCCATACTGCTTCTTTCTCAGTGTCCCCACTATGTGCCTAGCACAGTGATGAGCCCATAGTGCAATCTCAATAAAGATTTGTCTAGAAAACGATCATGCCACCTGGGAAATACTTACTAATAGTAGATATCAAATCTTGAAACCTTTCCTTAGGAAAGAGTGGATTTTCCAGTCCTCGGAAATACAGTTTTAAAACACCAGCAACGGAATTGATATCTCGCTCATTTTGGTCATCCACAAGGGGGTCTTCACCTGTGAGGAAACAGGGGTGATGATAAGGAGGCAGGGACCATGCAGGTGGCAGAAGAGAAGACCCAGGCCAGCCTGAACTGGAGCAGGCAGATGGGACCTCCTCAACACAGCAAGTTTAGGGTCCTCCCTGCAACTGATTCTGTAACTGTTCAAACCTATAGGAATGGTATAAAATTGAAATAATGACCACCCACCATCCTTTACTTATACTCACTTTGCCAAATCTACCTTCTCTCCATGGGGGCTGCACAGCTTACACATTCCTACTAGCACCCCAGGAGAATGCTTCTTTTTCCCCCCAGCCCAGCCCATGGAAAGGTGCCAACCTTCTGAATTTTTGCCAATCGGACTGGGCAAATAATCTCTCAGGAGAGCAGCGCTTTCCAGTTTAATCAGGGGCTGCTGAGCTAGTTCACACCAGGGACTGCTGAGCTAGGAGGCTTCTGAGGGGGAGGTGAGAGGAAGCAGGGAGCAAGCTGCCACCTCTGGAAGGTGCTGCAAGAAGTCCGCACAAAGGTTTCTTGCCCTCCTCCCAGGACAGCCCTGGGCCCTCTAAGACTCGCAAGCCATGAGGAGCAGAACTGGAAATTCATACTTGGCTCTCTTTTTCCTGCCTCCGTAGGAAGAGAATTTGTGTCACTTCAGGGCCTCTGCCAGCCCCAACATGCTGTGGTGCAGTTCAGAGAAAGCCCCCCTTCCTTCCAGGACTGGGGCTGTGGCACACAGAGCATGAGCCAGAGCCACCTCCCACCTGCCCTCCTGGCTGCGCAGTACCCAACCTGCATGACCAAATGTGGCAGCCAGGACACTGCTGCTCCTTCTACAGGTCAATCTCTCAGATGTCCCCATGGGAAGAGAGAGAACTCTCCCCCACAAGACTTTCTCATAGGGAAGGAAGAGAAAAAGCATTAAACAATCATTGCCTGTGCTGATGTAGCACATTCGCACATGTGATCTCTCATCCTCAAACGGCATTTCAGGGCACCAAGGGAGGCAGGGTTCCAACACCACCATTCTCTCCAGTCAGAAAGCTGAGGCCCCAGCAAGTGAAACAGCTTGCCCATCCTCATGAAGTCAAAGCCAGACACTAGCCACTCCCAGACCTCGTACTGCCGGGGAGAAAGCCCTTCTTCCCTTCCTTTACAATTCTGTCTGCCTCCCTCCCTCTCTCCCTCCCTCTCTGTCTCCCTGTCTACCTCCCTCCCTCCCTCCCCCCTCTCTCCCTCCCTCCTTTCCTTCCTTTCTTCTTTCCTTTTCTCCCTTCTTTCCATTCATCCCTCCCTCCTTCCTCTACAGTAGAATCCCAACCTTTTTCTTTCTAATTTTAAGAAAACAGTTCCTATGAGTGTTCAATATATAGAACAAAACTTTCTTAATTGAACTGGGGGGAGAGGTCCAAGCCCTGTCTCCTCAGCCTCCCTCTCCCAGTAGCAGCCCTTGGGCCCGCTGAGGGACGATACGCATTCTAAAGCTCTGCACTATGTTAAGCTGTTCCCTTATATTCACCATACATTGCTCCTGTGTTCTCGTGATGCAAAAGTGAGCTAACACGTCTCCATATTAGCTCCCCTTGTTGAGCATGATTAAACGCGTTGACTTTATACTCACACACCATTCACTCTTGCTCTGACCCCCAGAAGGCAACTCAGTCCACAAAAAGAGCAGCCCAAAAAGTCCTCCCTCCTAGCCTAGGCCTTCCGCTCTCTACAACACTGGTCACTTCTGCTTCTGGAAATGAATGGAAATCCAGAGCTCGAGATGAGCAGCTTCCTCAGGAGGACAATGACAGCTAACATGTCAGGCAGGTCTGGGGAAGCTGTGCTCACACTTGGCTAGCGCATGTCCTGGGGGAGCTAGAATGGTTAACAAAACAGCCCTGCCTATGGCGTACTCTCAGCCAGGTCACCTGGATGTTAAGGCAAGGCTGTGTCCAGGGTTGGGTATGAACACACAGTGTGTGCTTAAGGCTCCAGAGGACCAGCTGCAGGACCGGCATGGCAGGAAGGTGCAGGTAGTCTCTCTCCTAATATATGCCTGACACTGTGCTAGGTAAAGGGGTGCATTGATGGGTCAGATGGACACAGACCTACCCTCATGGGCCAGGAAATAAAACTGCAGGTGGAAATGTTTTATGTAGGAACAAATGAACAGAGACAAGGACAGCAGAGAGAACCTACATAGGGTGGTCAGGGAAGGCTTCTCACAGTACGGCCACACATGCCTCTCCTGAGGCTTCTCAACATGACAGCCCTTCCCATGTCTCTTGGCCATACCCCTCCTTCTGGGGCAGGAAATAGTATTGGGAGGGCCAGGCTGAGGCCAGGATGTGTCATCCCATATAGGCTGTGAGTCCAAACCCCGTCTTGATGGTGCAGGGTGAAAGGGTCACTGGATCCTTTTCCCTCCACACAGGAAAGACCTGGCAGCTCTCTCACCTTGGTGTATGAAGAGGATGTGGATTGGTTTGTGGGGAAAACAGAGATGGAGAACTGGCCTGGGAGACCACAGCAAGCCTCGGCTCTCCCCCAGGCCAAGCGGCCCAGTCCTGTCTTTTCCTAGTGTTCTCACTTTCGTTTTGCCAGAAGATTACAGGAAGATCTCAACATTGGAGAAGTAAGTCTAAGATTTATTGACAGCAATGAAGAGGATAATAATAATGCCCTCAACTAAAATCCCAGTTGACTTGTGTCAGAAGAATAAGAAAATGGGTTTAGAAATAGTAAACCAAGCATGTCTGTCCAGAAGATTAAGGAAAAGAGATGGGTGCTTTCAACCGTCCTGTACAGGAAATGAAGGCAAGACCATCTGCTCCCGAGAAGAGAAGACCAGCTCTCTGAGCAAGTGGTGAAAGTCAAGCACCCTGCAGGTGCTGAGGATTAAAATTTTACAAAATAAAAAAAAGGAAAAACACACAATGTCCTGGTATGGAAAGAAAGCTCTGTCACACGTTTGCACATGTAGGACGTGAGGAGCAGGTGAGAAAAGAAATGCTGAGCCCGGAGCAAGTTCAGGCCACCTGGCTGCTGTTGGGAGTGGGGGTAGGAGGACGGGGGAGAAACCTAGTGGGTTTTCAGGAGAGGTGGGAGGGGGTGCCCTTGAGGGTCAGCTGGGTGTGGAGCCTAACCCAGGGCAGTTGGTTCGTGAATATCAAGGAAGAGAAAAGAATAAGTTAGAAATTTGGGCACTAGCCAGCCCAAAGAAGCCAGGAATGGATTTTTCTTAAAAGAGACATACCAGGAACGATTCTTCTAGAATTAGCCATGCTTCACTGTAGCCTCAGGTGGAGCAGGATAGACTGGCAAGAGAATAAGATTCACTTGGGAATGGTGGAGAGAGGGAAAGGAGCTAAGCGCATACACAGAGAAAAAGCAGAAGGTATTCTTTGCAGCTGAGATTTGGGTCAGGTGATCTCTGCCCTCCAGGGCTTTGCCTGGGGTGGTGTAAGGCTTGTTAGGAGCAGAGTCCTTATAAATTTCATATCACCCCTGCAAGGCACCCAAGCAAGTGAACAGAAGGTTAAACTTAGAAAACCACATTCAAGAAGGAATGAAGGCAGTGCTACTGGGTGGGGATAGGGCCTGGCTGTCTGGTACAGTGAGGTTACTTACAAGACATGGGAAAGCAGGAAAATGCAGTGAGTTTACCCATGAGACTCAAGGAATTCAAAGATGAACCCAGGAAGATGAGCCCAGCAAAGACTCCTGACCATGACTATTCATTTCCAATAACGCAGGGTAGCAGGGATGCTAAGGAGTTGGGGAAATGAAGGAAAAAAAAGCTCTGCACTGTGCTGTCCAGTGTGGTCAAGAGAAGCTCAGGGAATGATGAATGGCACTTCCATCAGGGATGCTGATGAGAGAGACTTCTTGTTTTGTGGCCTCTGTGCATGCTGTTTCCGGGGTATGGAATCCTCTGGCTCCAAGTCAGAGTCCAGAGGGCCTCAGAGGGATGTGTGCAGGCTATAGTGGTGACCATCTGGAGCTGACAGAATGGTTTCTCCACTCTGAGCTAGACCTCAGGATGGAACTGGGAAGTTAGGGAGGGGGTGAGTGTGCACAGGAGGCAGGCCCTCCAGGGGAAGCCCCATAATAAGTAGAGATAATTCTAGGCTAGAACCCCAGGGGGAGGCCTGTCCAGAGCACAGCCAATAGGGATAAACCGTGTATCTCCCAAGGCTGTTAGAACAATGGGTAAGAAAGTGCTTTGTAAATTGGGTAGCTCAGTTGGCTGGAGCGTCATCCTGTACACCAAAAAGATTATGGGTTTAATCCCTGGTTGGGGTGTGAAAGGGAGAAAACAAATCAATGTTTCTCTCTCTCTCTCTCTCTCTCTCTCTCTCTCTCTCTCTCTCTCTCTCTCTCTCTCTTTCTTTCTCTCTCTCTCTCTTTCTCTCTCCCTTTCTCTCTAAATATTAATAAACATATCCTTGGGTAAGGATTTTTTTAAAAGTTGGGAGGTGATCTATTGTGGGGAAATGGATTTGGGATTTGGGGCCTTGGATCAAACTTAATATCAGAACCACTCACAGAAAAAGGCAGTAAGTGAGAGTTAAGAGGAGTAGATTGTGGAGATGTTATTCTTCCATAAAAGTGGTGAACTGGAGGCAAAGATATTATTTAGGATGTGAGATAAGCACCTAGTATAAAAAGCAGAGGTGGATTAAGAATTGAACTCCTGACCCAATGAATCCTCACTTTGCATGGACACTGTCACTGGCCATCTATCTGTCCCCATCAGGGAATCTGAGGCCAAAGGAGGTTACAACCAAACAAGCCACATTTGTACCTTTTGTGCTAGTCACTTCATTTCTAATAAGCTTTTCATCCTTGATTAATCAAAGTGAGAACTAGGTAACCTCACTGAGGGTGGGAGGAGTGTACAGTCTCTTCTTCCCAAAGTGTAGTTTTGCCAAAAACACTACATAGAAAATTAAGAATTAGGATATTCTAAAAGCCACTCAGCAGTGTTATCTATGTTCTTCCAATGTTTATAAAACATATCAGCCTTTGCAGACTCACATGATCATTCCAGAGAGCTTTACAAGGCCTTCTTTCCCAGCAACCACTGTGTGGCCCACTAGAAAAAGTTACCACTAGCTGGTAAATGCTTAACAGCTAGCTCGTTGGAGGAGAAAAATAAAAGATCTTTGTGTTTGCCAATTTCCGTGGTGTAAACACTCCCACCATGGCTGATTTCAAGCTACCAATGTGAAGTCACTGCACACCACTGGCTCTAAAACGTGCTAACACCCACCTTGGCTGCCCCTGGCCACAAGCTTGAAATGGTCACTCTGCACCTACCTCTCTCAAAGGAATTTTTTATGTCATTGACTTCGACCTGAGATCCTGGCACTCGGAAGATCCCTTGCTGCTGGAGTCCTATAAGAACACACACACAAATAAACAAACAAACAACAACAACAAAAAAGAGAGAAAAAATGCCATAAGGCCTTGAGCTCATCAGAACACTGGGAATTTTGATGACTCACTCCACTGCTTGTCCCTTTCTCCCACCATCCTTTGTAAGAGAGTCATTCCCCCAATGAAAGTGTCCTGGTAGAAACCCAAAATAACCTTTGCAATGAAGTGTGGCTGGCCAGAACACTCAGACACATCCTGCTTCACATGTCTGTATCTCTTGTCTGGGCTTGGAGGAAAAGGCCACGAGAAGTTTATATCAAGACTGGATCAATGAATAACCTCCAATTTAACCAATAAGTCAGCTCAGGCAAATAACCAGTTGGTGCACATGGCTACTGAGTTTACCAGTTGCTCTGGAACCAGGAAGGTTGGTCTGAGTTTATAAATGCCATTTGGGTGAAATAGCCACAAAGATATTAAACAAGGATCAAATCCACTGCCTCAGTTCTCTCTCCCCTAACACAGACATTTCCTTCCTTCAATAAAAGCTAGATTCTAAAGTATATGCTGCCCTGGTATGGAGAAATTTAGAAGAAATTAAATCATTAAAAAAAAAAAAATAGTCTCATTTTTCTCAAGTGTTTCTACAAGGCCAGAACAAAGGAGACGCTAATACCTGCCCTAACAGTAATGACATACAGCAACCCATAGGGTTGAGGGCATTAAAAGACCTCCCTCTTTTTAAATGGGAATTAATGGAGGATACTCTGATCCTTTTCCTGGATTCAGTTTTCCTATATAAGACAACTGTCCACATTATAATTTAGGAAAGAGTTTACTCGTAAAAGGTAGGCTTTTGTCAAAGTTTGGTTTGTACAAAGCATTTGCTTGATAGGCGCTTGTTTATTTCTTTCTTTTTAAAAACTATATTTTTTACAGAGAGGAAGGAAGAGGAAGGAAGAAACATAGATGAGAGAGCAGCATCAATCAGCTGCTTCCTGCATACCCCCTACTGGGGATGTGCCCACAACCAAGGTACATGCCCTTGACCGGAATCGAACCTGGGCACCCTTCAGTCTGCAGGCCGATGCTCTATCCACTGAGCCAAAATGGTCAGGGCTTGTTTATTTCTTTCGTTAACAAATACTGACTTTCTACCCCCTACCTAAGTCACTGGCCCATTCTTGTAGTCACATTGGCTTTTGTCCCAGACTAGGCCTTTACACTTGTCTTTCTCTACACCTGGACTGCATGGCCGGCCTCCTCTACTCACTGGACTCTTAAAGGGCCCTGGATTCTTAATTACTCTCTGCGAGAGGTCTCTGCTTACCACGTTAGCCAAACCAGCCCTGCCCTGCTCCAGTCATTTCTACTCCCTCTTCATTAGTTTATAGGCATTATTGCTGCTTGAACTTACATTGTTTATTTCTCCGCTTGTTTATTTCCTTGACCTTCTAATTGGTAATATAATCTATGTTATATTGGCTGGTATCTTGTTCAAGCCTATATTCCCATTGTCCAAACAGTGCCTACTATGCTCTCTGAAAGAAATATTTTTGGAGGAATAAATAAATAGATCGATGAAAGCACGAGTTAAGTGCTGAGGATACTGTGGTTAGCAAATCCCATACACTGTGTTTCCTTCATGGAGCTTACTACACACTTGCAGTATTAACTGACTGACACCAGCTGCAGTCAGTGCTCAAAGCACAGAGCTCTGGGGTTGGGTGGGAGTGAAGGAGTAGCTAAGATGGTCCTCCAGTCCATGCATGCCCTCGCTGCTCCTTGGTTTTCCTAGTTCCTGAGTCTTTCTATCTCCTGACACACAAGGCTCAAAAGATAGCACTCAGAAAGGCAGCTGTTCTGCGAAGCGTCTCCCCTCGGAAGCAGAGCAGCGACAGGAAGCCTTTCAGATGAATTAGAATCCATTTCCTTTGAGAAAAGCCTAGCACCTGCTCTGGAAAGAGCTGAAAACACTGCCCCATGATTAAGCTTACCGTATAAATTGATGTATCGGATGCAGCTCTCAACTACCAGCGGGATAGCTTGTCCCGAATCCTTAAGAAAAAAATTTGTGAGTTTTATTGGGCTTGGCAACCGTCATGGGGGAACAGACATTGCAAACACAGATTATAAACTCAAGCCAGAATATTAGTACCATCAGATTAGTAGGAAAACAAGCAAGGAATTGCTAATCCTAAAAGCTCCACAGTTAAAATAGAAAGACTTCAGTTATGTGCAAAAAAAGGCATAGCTATGATAATTTTAAAGAAATGCTCTGTCTTCTTACTCTGCTGGGAAGGAATCAGGGACCCAGAGGCCTGATAGGCAATCTGGAGAGGGGGGGAACCACTGTGTGGAGGGGCTGGAGTCTGCTCTTGCAGGGTTCTCTGCCTCCCACTCCACTTTGCCCCAACTGAAGCTATTCTCCCAGTGCTCAGGGATGAGAAAGCAGGGCCAAGGCCTCCTCCCAGGACTGCAGTACCCGATGCCTATGCTGGAATTAAGAAGAATGCACTATGGGAGATGCCAGCTCTGGACCCAGGGGCCTTTTGAGCTCTGAAAAGGGAAGACCAGTTCCACTCAGGATGTTACAAACTAAACACCCAGGTAGGTACTTGTTTAGCAGTGTTATAAACAAAGGTTCTAGAAACAGTAAGTCAGCCCTTGACCACTGAGTGGCCGACTTTAGTCAAACAGGCTGACTAACGTGCAATTCTAAACATGGCATTTAGGGTGTGAATGTATTTTCAATGAAATCTTCCTAGACTGGCCCATGGCCATCGAGGGCTGGGCAAGGGGTAATTTGCTTTTGAATCCTGTGATTGGTTGGCCTCTCTGCTACTTAGGTCACGAAAGAGCACTTAATATTTTTAAAATTCTCTTTAAAAGGGGTCAGATTAAATGACCAGCCTCCTCAGAAATTGAGGAAACAGTAAGGCATTTCAATATGCTCTTGTAAGGGGCATTCAGATGCTTTCGTGACTCCTCCACACCCAACCTGGGAAGTCTTTCCTTGACTGACTGCTCAAGGAGGGAATGATAGCACAGACCCACTGGTGACAGGCGAGGCGGGCTCTGTTCTAACGTCAGTACTACAGACAGGTTTCATCCAGTTGAAGGGGGCTAACGGACCTTTCTAGTAAGTACCTGGTTCCTGGTTCGAGCATTTCTTCTTCCTCTGATAACAAAAAATAAACAGGCAGCAGAGCAGGAGAAAAAGAAAAGATTATGCAGGAGTAAGACCAGTTAGAGTGAGCAGATCCTTCAGAGTCCGTGAACGCCCAAATGCAAGGGCAGCCAAAGGTCCGGGGGGCCTGCCAGCCAGCCTGCGTGGGGTAGGGTTCCCTGCATCTTGGGGCCTCCTGGGAGTTTCTTTCAGCGCTGCTGTCTTGAACACCAGGTGACATAGGGGCTTTCAGTCCTTGTCAGAGTGGAGGGACAGTGTGCACTGAGCCTTTCCTCACCCCATCCCTGGCTTCTCAACATAGCGGCTCGCTATTCACCAGTGGGCAAGAGCCCAGCCAGACCCTTTCGGGTTAGCCCAGCTGCCCACACACCTGCAACGCTGTCCCTGGAATTCAGCCCAGGAAACATCATTCCTGGGAAAAAGCTAATTTTACCAAGATCATATGTATCACATGCCCTTCGGATGGCCCCCCAATAGGATTCTGCCTGATTCCAAACTCCAAACAGCTTCCCATGCTTTCCTACCAAATAGCCTAGGTAACTTGTCCTGAGTAGCCACAGGGCTTTGTTCCCTTCCTACCCTCCACCCTCACCCTAGCACTGAGAACAGCTCAGGGTACTCAAAGCTGAGAGAGACTGGGAGAGGAAGGGCAGCAGAGTCAGAATGCCTTCCCAATCTTGCCTGTGTTTTCGCTAAGAACCCTGAGCAGCCCCTTTTCAGGGGAGCACACTCTTTCCCCATCAGTGCAGCAGGTCAAGCTCTGGGGAAGTGCTATGTCCCAAACTAAGAAACTGGAGAATGTGCATCTGCTAGCGGGTATCATCTGTCCAGCTGCCAGCATCTCAACAACTGGAATTATATGTTGGCTAAACCCACCTGCCTCCCAGAACTGAGCAAACAGCCTGGTCAGATGGGGCTCTGTGTGCAATCTCCTAACAGCTAATGACAACGACAATAGTCAACATGTCCACAGAGCTCACTGGGTGCCAGGCAGTGTTCTAGAAAGATGACGTCTCTCAGCTCATTTGTGCTAATGGTATCTATCACACACTGTGAGGTAGGTAATCACCATTCTTGTTTTATAGATATAGGGTGAGGACTCCCCCTCTGCCCAGGGGCAGACCTCCCAGGCTTCAAATTTTATAATAAAAAGTGGGTTTCTTTCTATCTGAGAGAAGAAAAAAATGATCAAGGATTCTGAAAAAGGTCAATTCAAAAAGGTAGGGCCCTAAGAAATGTATTATATAACTCCAGCAAAATTTATCTGTCCTTCTTAACTTGGGGATGCTTCCTTGTCCTTCAAAACCAGGCCTGAGGAACCTTTTTCCTGCCAAGGGCCATTTGGATATTTATAACACTATTTGTGGGCCATATGAAATTATCAACTTAAAAATTATGTTGCTATGAAAAATTATCTATGCTCCTAGATTTATTGAATTTTGAGTCCCATCTGCAGTTGCTCTGGCAGGGCCAGACCAAATGATATAGCCCACAGGCGGGACATTTTCCACCCTGCAAACCATCGTAATCATGGGGTCCCTGTGATGTTATTTTATTGGAAAGCCTTTCACAGGTTTGGCATTTCAAAGCTGGGAGTTCTTAATCCATGCAGAATATCCTTCCAGGAAGCATGTGAATCATAAGAGAAAGTTCAATTCTGTTCAGAGGATGAAGAATTGACTGTGTTACACTGCCTTTTCATTCTCTGAAAGTTAGTAATCCTTGAGAGTAAGACCAGGCTGCATGCAAGCTTGTCTACACACTACCTCCCTCACAGCAAGTGCACAGGAGTTCGCTGAACTGCACCAACAGCAGATGGCGTAAGTACAGTGTAACAATACAAACATCTAATCATTAAACATATCTCTTTCTTTTTCAGTCAAATAGTCCCCTGAGGAGGCTGTGCCATGGATCAGTGCTTTGGGGTGTCCCTCTTTGTGGGGGTCTTTTCAGAGCCAGTTCCACCAGCCCCAGTCTGGCATGTGCCTCTTGCCATTTTGTACCTCTGGTGGCATTGCAAAGCTGAGCTTTGAAAGACCAGGGTGTCCGCCCTAACACAGAGTTTGGCACCACTGACAAAGGCCATGCTGCAGGCTCTGGGGAAGACTGGCCAGCTGAAGCAATGCCATATCATTAAGCATAAGAATGCAGCTGCCCAGGGTGGCCACCTCCAAGGGGCAAACTCTCGTGTTGCTGGAGAAGTTCTGATGTGTTTATCAGGATGAATAAAGTGGAATGACCTGGTGGTCTCAGTTATGTAGGAGCTGCCTACTAACAGACTATTTCTTCAGACAGAACACTTTCCAATCCTGTCAGGTAAGCGTCAGCTCCTTCCGCATTCTCACTCATCGCCCATTTCCAAAGAGCTGAGCAAAGTGGAGAAGGCATCCCTGTCTCCGGGCCTTCCTTATCCTGTTTCTCCTTTCAGAGACTCCTCTGTCCTACCCTCCTTTCAAAGCCCTGCCTCCTCCCCAAGCCTCCCTGCTTTGTTGAGCACAGTTCTCCTTGCTTCGAGCTCACACAGAGCTTGTTTCCATGGGGATAATTCACCAAGTGCTCATGGAATCGTCTTGCACTTTCAGCTTTCTGTGTCAAAATCTTCCTGACTGACACCTGAAGCTCCTGGATGGCAGGGAGAAAAGTCCACACACCTTTCAGCCCTGCTCAGCTACAGAGAGGGGCTTTCCAAGGTGCCGGGTGCAGTCTTGTCAGAGGAGGGAGGCTGAAGAAAGAACCCTTTTTGACACAGCCTCATTCATCCTCCTGTGACCTATGAGGTGGCAGAGTGCTCACTCAGGGACACCTCCAAATAAGACCTCTTTCCTGATGCACCCAACAGCACCCCACCTTTTGGGACTCCATGCCTCACTCCTCTGAGGTGTCCCGAAGCAGCCCCCACTGCTCCCCACTTGGGCAGTCTCACTTGTGCCCACTGTCCTTTCCCCAGAACTCAGCTCCCAGGCAGAGACAGTCCTGAGATCCAGGCATCCTGTGCCCCACCCCTCTGTAAGTCCTGGGTGCACCTTGAGGTTGGAGGATAGAGAGCAGGGCAAGGGAGCCTCCACTACCCCAAACTGTCAGCAAAGCCCCGAAGCCACACTTTCCCCTATTGGACACCAGCCTTCTTTTCTGCAGAGAGTGGCTCTGTTGGATGGTGGTGAGCTCTGAAGTGACCATTAAATGGTGGTGGGAACCCTCTCTCCTGTTCCCCTTGGCTAATGCTAAGAGTGAGTCTCTCCTTCCTCAGTCTTTCCCCACCTGCTGCCCTGTCAACTCCACCACCAGCTGAATTTGCCCAAGCCATTCCATCAGGTTGCTTGATCCTGCACCCTTCTCGTCCAAGAAGCAAGAAAAGTGAAACTCGTCTAGTTGAACCGCTTTCTTTTTTCATCTAAGGTATAAAGGGTTAGCCGAGAATCTAAAGGAACTGCCTCAGCTTGTCTCCCTTCTCCCAAACAACCTTACAAGAAGCAAAACTTGGTAGGAGGGTGTTCTGTCACACGGATTTTGTTTCCTTTGCTGGGATAGTCTTGACTGAAAAAAATAAAATCACGCTGTTGCCTGCAGGGATTTTCTTTGTGTTGCTTCCAACCAAGCTCTTCCTGGGAGACGTGGGTGTGAAGCGAGGCAGGGGGTTATCTGACTGTCCCTTCAGCTAGCGAGGACCACAGTTCCGGAGCAACAGCATGGGGCTGGCAGGAACCACCGTGCTGGCATCTCAGCCCCACATGGACTTCACCATGATCTTACCCCTGAGAATCACAGCAAGGCACTGGTCAGAGACAAAAGCAGCTCTGATTAGAAGCCCCCACGGAAGCTAAGCACAGGCTGCAGGGAGGAGCTAGTTCGCCATAGCGCCAGGCCAAGGGCACAGATGGAAAGTTCTGGTAGGTGGGGGCAGGGCTGCTGGCTAAGGGGAGGAGGTGAAGAAAGGCTGCCATTACATTGGGCATATTCGCGGACTCTGTGGCACCCAACAAGTACCTTAATGAACGCTTCCATACAGCCGTTAAATAGTTTATGGTTACACACTGAGAGAGGCCTAGGTCTCCTCATTTTCTGTGGTTTAGGGGGAAGACAGGGGGGCCTAGGGGAAAACGGAACAAAAGAAATCAAGAAAGTAACCAATGTAAAACATACAACTGGGACAGATGCTTTTAAAACCCACGACCAGAGGAGAACATGAAATGCAGATGGAAGCCCCTGAACCCCTGCACAGTGGCGTCCCATGCTCCATCGGAAGGCCTTTGGGTGTTTAGGGGATCTTAATTTACCCCAGTGTCAGGCGGGAGCAACACTCGTGTAACACAAATGCATTCTGAATCGTAGCGGAGAGATATAGTACGTGTCTGGGAAACCACTGAACCTCCATCAGAGGCTGTCATCCTGCAAAGCTGACCACATGGAGGGGGACTCAGGGGAGAGATGGAATCTGTAGCCCGAGAAAGCAAGAGACTTCCAAAGATGATTGGAAGGGTTAATGTTCATTATTTTGGCTTAAATTTATCACCAAGTCTCAACTCCCAACGTACCAGGGCACGGATCTTCCTAATGCCTCTCGGCATTTCAAATGCACTTGACTAATCTTTATTCCATTGGTCTAAGAGCCAGGCAATTATTATTCTCCTTTTAGAGATGAAGAAACTGATGCCGGGAGGGAGGCTGCAGTTTCTTTGGGATCCTGGGGTGACCCAGGATGATGATCATATCTTGTCCTTCAGTCAAGTACACTTCGATTACAGCGCTTTCTCAGCTCCATTGCCACACTTGACGTCAGCTCGATCCTGTATGCAAGGCCTCCTTTTAAAGAGGCAAAGACAGACCTAGAGAGGGGAACTGGCAGAGCCAGGCCCCAAACCCAGGCCTCTTTAGCTCCAAATCCAAGATTTTCCCCACGGAAACAATCATGGAGCCTGAGGACACTCCTTCATTTCCAGCCAAGGACTCGCCCCTCCCATTAACCCTTGCCAGCGGAGGACCCATAGGGTCAGGTTGAAAGTGTCTTGCTTTGCTTTAGGATCTCCAGTCCCTGTGCTCCACGCTTGGCCACAGGGAGGGGAAACCGCAACACAGTCCACCAGGAACAGTGAAAACAGCCACAAACATCTGGACCAGTTTCCAGAGTTGCTCACCATGCATATGCCTGGGTTGCTTATTTGCTCATCTTCGCCACCCAAGTTGGCCTGACTCATGCCGCCAGCCTTCCAGGGCAAAGGGCTCTGAGGTGAGGAGGAGGGCCCCCACATCCAAAGAGGCAGTTCGTTCTCAAATGGCTTGGTCCACAATTTGGGGAACAACAAGTAGGGACCCAGCCAGGCACAGATAATGTCCACACGGGATGAGCAAAGACCTGGTCCCCAGGTCTTGATTGAGTTCTGTAAACGGGCAAGAAATCATATGGGCTTTGGAGCCAATCCAGGCGAACGAGAGTCATGCTGCCTCTGCCCAGTGGCCTTGTGCGTGTCTCCTCAACAGCCCAGCCATCCTAGAAGCACTAACCAACTTCTCCTCGGCGTTTGAGTATTGAGCAAATGCTGCTAGCTCCAGGACATGCATGGGCAAAGACACAGCTGAATCCAAATATCATGCCACCCAAACACTACAACCAAAATAACAGCACAGACCAAAAATTTGAAAAGCAACAACAGGCAAAATTATTTCGAGCCCATCTTGGATCTTTTGCCAATTTGGTTAGCTAAGTCCATGTCATTTCGGTTTTGTAAGTTATTTATTTTTAAGGATGTGGGTATATAGGGCTGGTATTTCTTACAACAGATCTGCTTTTTAATTTCCAAATTCAAAACAGAGTACCATATATGTCACAGGTCCAGAGGTTTTAAGTCTTGAAATTTGGAATAACTTGAGGACAGCAACTTTGCTAACTTGTCTTCATAGTGTTTTGGGTTTCTGTTTTTGAACATTCTCAGGTCATTTCCTTATCTCACATGGTGTTATACCCTCACAACAATGCTGTGAGTTAGGTAGGAATTATTAAACCCACGTTAGACATAAGGCAAATGAGCTGATGAGAGATTAAGAAACTTGCCCTCAGTCATGGGAATGAATAGAAGTCAGCTCTTCCTACCCCAGGTTCATATGTGAGTGCAAAATTGGGAAACTGATTTTTATCACAGAACATTGAGAAGTAGCATTAAATTATCTATTAACTCCCATGGCCAGAGAGAGTATAGACTCTTAATGCAGGTGTTGGACACCCTGTATCAAAATATTCAGGTGCCCAGTTGGTGGATTTCCTTAAAATAAGTCCTAAGGATTTTTTTTCCCTTTAAGTTGATAAAATAGAATGAAGGGAAAATAGAATACTTTTCTCCATTTCTCCTATAAAAATCCTCGAAAACAAAGGGCTGTTGGAATCACAGGGATTTCTTTCTTTGTGTGGTGCTCTGTGTATTGACTGGAATCTGACAAGGAAACGTAGCTATCCCAACTTTGCATGACATCAAATAGACTTACTGAAATGCTGGGTGAGGCACAAAGTGGGGAGCAGGGGGGCAGCTCAGCCAAGGAAAGTGGGGCAGCCTAAGCCTTCCATCTCTTCTGCTGCTCAGTTGCAGAGCAAAAAGGAAAGAAAGAAAGAGAAGCAGGGAAAACGGGAACAGAGAAAGCCACAGAGAGGAAGAAAGAGAAACCAGAGACCAATGTCCCCTTTCTGCCTTTCAACCAAGGTGAAAATTAACACATGTTGGCAACATAGCACTTGGCCTCAAAATTACTGTGACCAAAAGGACAGTGATTAGAGTCTTCCCCCAGATAACTTGATGTACAAAGGTGTCAATGTCCAAATATTACAGTCCAATGGTGGTCAGGCTCTTGGAGGCTGTGCATGGGTGTGCACTGGGTTGTATCTGTTTGGACAGAAATCTCCAGTGATTTCACTTCTAATCCAGACCACAAGGGCAAATTGACCTGGATTAGGGAAGATAGTCTTTAGTGTGAATGACCAAACCTTACACTTGCATCTGGCTTGGACATCTACCATACACTTTTCAAATGCATTATTGTGTCTGTTCAGCCTAAATTATAGGCTATTATGAATATGGGCTATCATAAAATAAGGTTCTTAAGTATGAGAAAAAGCTCATGTGCAAAAACTGGTATATCTATTCAAGGCCAACTGTGACTTGGCTGAGGGGACCTGCTCAAATGATTATTCACAATGACACTGACCCTGGACAGGAAACCACAGGAAATACAGAGAGCCACAGTATAGAAACATCTCACCAAGGGCCTTTCAGATTAACTTAAAAACCATTACCGATGACAATTCATTGCACAATAAGTTAAAAATGATTTGAGAAAATAAGGGGAAGCTTTTAATTTACTGACAAAGTTGCCTTTGACCTTGGCCAAGGACCAGAGCACAGAAGGTTGGGGTTTCAATATAGTGCAATGTGTCTAAGTGGGAGACCTAGTAATCTTAACTTGGGTTTCCCAGGTGCTAGGTCAAAGAAGATATGGAATATAACATCTTGGTGGGTTTTATTTAAAAAACAAAATATCCCTTCCACCCCCCAAATAAAAAAATAAAAAAAAACCTCAGCTTTTCTCTGAGGCAGATCCTGAGGCAGATCCTGGCCAAGGACTGTCTCCAAGCAACCTGCTGGAACAATCTTCTCCCACGTAAATTCTAGGAATTCACAGGAAGCGAGGGACAGTTCAATTCATCCCCCACCTGTCTCACCATTTATAAATTTTGGTGTAAAATGTGGCTTCTGTTGTTTTGGGACGATGATAACACCTTGCCAGAATAAATAAATAAATAAATAAATAAATAAATAAATAGTCTGTTTCTGTAAGTTCTTTAGAAAGTGACCCTGCACATCTGCACACCTGTGTGCAAGAGGTCCTCGCATAATGAATCATCCAGATGTTCCCAGACTTCCCAGCCTAGAGGGACAGTTGCACAGGCTAAGCTTCTGGACAGCCTCAGCCTCCACCATCCTGGGCCTGGCAAATTGAAACCCCCAGGGCTTTCCAAGCCTCTTCCCAGCCAATTCCCTTCCAGATGAGGAGAGAGTACAGGGTTCATCCTCCCTTCCTGCCAAGTATGACAGCTTTCCGGGGTTCTGGGCCACAGGGAAAAATTTGTGGGGAAAGGATGTGATCAGGTCACCGGGCTCAGGATGAGGCACCTGATGGAAAAGGGCAGGCCCCTAGGTCACGGCTGAATGCATGCTGGGCAGTAGGAGAGCTGTTGCTGGGAGCTCCGCACAGACGGGCTCTAAGAACAACCTGGGGCAATGACAGGCCTGCTTATGGATCTAAACTCTGAAAGTGGAGGAATGGTCCTGTCGCTGAAGTCAGCCATCAGCTACCAGCTGCTGAGTGGAAAGTGTTCACTGGCTCTGGTCTGCTCAGGGGAAAGCGCAAAGGGTAATGCTGAGCAAGCTGGAGAGAAAGCAGAGTTGCCCGTTTGTTATTTTCCCAACAAGGGACTCCCCATCCAAGTGCGGGTGAGGCCCAAAGCCAGGGTTCGGGGCATCTGCTCACGCTTATGTGGGTATGCGCATGCATATGCCCAAATGTGTGCGATTCCAGCCAAATCCAAAGCCTTGGCAAATGCGGGCCCTAGGCTGGGCCCCCAGCTCAGCTGGGCAGTTTGCTCAGCAGCCATATAACAGATAGGAAGACAAGTCAACCGCTACCACACAGCCTCTGGCCTCTCCTGGTTGTCCTCAGCCACAGCGATACAATTTACTGTCCCACTGGATGGCCAGTGCCATGGAGGGGGGATACCCCACTGACCCATAACAGCTCTGGAAGCACCCTACCCATCTCCAACTTACAAGGGCCATGGCTTCCATCTAAGGCTAGAACCAAAAGAACAGCCACAAAAACACCATCTCCTCAGGACAGTAGGGAAGAGCTGTCCCGCTTTCAGAAATCCCAACCCATCTGAGCTCTGGGCAGAGTCCGTTTTCCACCTTCTCTTCCCCTCCTCTCCTGCTCCTTCCACTTCCTCTTCCCCCACCACAACCACAGGGAAATAGGTGAGAGATAACAAGATGCCCAGCTCTTACCTGGTTGTGCCACAGTCTGCTCTTTCCCCTGGAAAGAAAGGTATATATTGATGTTTAATTGTTTTTTAACCAGAGAACATTCATATTTTTTTTTCTAAAAACAAAAAAATAACTGGTCTTGATTATCTGTGAAATGAAGAACAAAACCATGCCTAAGGTATGGTCTGTTGGAAAGAACTGCCTGTTATCACATCCCAAGTACCTCCTATTGGTGGGGTTATGTTCACATACATTTCACTTTTATTGTTCACATACATTTTTTTCAGTGATTCTCAAACTACAGTCTGCTGTCTGCATCAGAGTCCCACCTGAGACCCTTACTAAAAAAATGCAGGTTTCTGGGCTCCTCCTGAGTCAGAATCTCTGAGATAAGAACCCCTGAATCTACATTTTAACAAGCACCCCAGAGGATTCGCTCTGCAAGATAAAGCCCAGTGACTGTGCATTGCTTTGTATCAATAAAGATCTAGTGGCCCTGAAGTGTATCAGCCACAAGATACTTTCTTGTTGTTCCTCAAAGTTGCTACCCCTTCCCATCCCTGCTGCCTTCATTCACAGATGAGTACCTGCTCACTTCCTTCCGTGGAAAAATCAGTAAGATGGGGTCTTGGTGTTGCCTCCAAGAGACCTGCCCACCTACCTGCACCCACCCACTCACCTGCTACGTGCTGGTACTCCTGAGGAAGCATTCTGCTTCTGCCAAAGCCCAGGCCTTCTCCCTGTGCTCTGGGTCCCATCCCTCTACCTTTCTCAGGAGCCCTGTGCCTCTAAGTGCCTCCTCTCTCTCTAGCTAGCATTACCTATCCCCTCTTCTAGATCATTCCATTCACATATAGACCTATTCTGGATATGTATATGCTAGCTTTTTAACTCCTTCTAACTTCATCCACATTTCTCAGCTCTGCGTACACCATCACTTCCTGAAGGAACTGGCAGTCACTGTCCCTCCTCCCTCCCCAAGTGCAGTGGCTTCTGTCCTCACCACTCCATGGAGCCAGCTCTGCCTCTGCGTGGCTGAGTCCAATGCTCTCTCTGCTCTTATCTGACTTCTCAGCACCATTCAACTCAGCTCATTGCTTCCTTCCTCTTAGAAGCGTACTCCTCTTGCTTTTCATGGATCCACACTTCCCAGGTTCTTATCTCAGATGTCCTTCCTACCCTCCAGATTGTTCCTCAGTTTCTCTTGTTGTCACCTCCTCATCTGCCCACATCCAACCTCTAAATGTAGGAATGTCTCCAGAACATATACCCGCAACCACTTCTCTTCTCTTTCTGTGCACCCTCTCTCTCTAGGTGATCTCAAATGCTTACTGAGGACTCCCTAATATTATCTCCAGATCCCATGCCCCCCTGGACTCCTAGATTGCCCCCCTTTTAATTTTGAATCAAGGTATAATTTATATATCATAAAATTCATCCACTTGAAATGTACACCTCAATAATTTTTAGTTAATATTCCAAGTTATGCAGCTGTCACCTACAATTCAATGTTAGAGCATTTCCATCACATGAAAAAGATCCCTGGCGCCAATTCAAAGCCTCTCTGTCTTCTCACCTCCAGCCCCTAGACACCATGAATCCACTAATCAACTCCCTGCCTCTACAGATCTGCTTATTCTGGACATTTCTTACAAATGAAATCATGAAAGATGTGGCCTTTTGCATTTGGCTTCTTTCACTAAACCTAATGCTTTTGAAGTCCTTCCATACAGCATGATCTAGTACTTCATTCCTTTCATGGAGCAGGAGCAGACCTCTAGGCCATGCTGTCCAATGGGAATATAATGCAAGCCATAATGTCTAGTAGCCACATTACAAAAATTCAAAAGAAACAGGTGAGATTAATTTTAATAATATTTTGTATTTAATCTAACACATAAAAGCATTATCATTTCAATATAGATCAACATAAAAATAAGATATTTGTTTCCTTTGAGGGGGCACTAACTTTGAAATCTGGTGTTCACTTTACACATCTCAATTCAGACTAGCCACGCTTCAAGTGCTCAATAGCCATGTGGTAGTGGCCACCATATTGGACAGCACAGCTCTAGACTCTAGAACCCCATCCAGCAGTCACATGACGGGACTTTTTAAAAGGAAGAACCAAGCATTTATTTTCCCTATAGAAAACAATGCTGAATGGGGCTAGCGAGAGAAATAGGGGAGGAAGAGAGTAACAGAGATCTGAAAATAGAACTTATTGTAGAACAAACCAACACACAATTCCTTAATTCCTGATCAAAGCCACAAGCAGTCACAAGAGTGACTGAAGCTGGTTGAACTGGAGCCAGACCAAAGCAGTAGAATAGAAAAGTCAGGTAAAACAAACTCGATTGTGTGTCTGGGGTCTGGGGCAACTTCCTAACAGACACTAAGCCAAGGAGAATTTTCATGTGGACCCAAGACCCTGAGTAGGAGCCAATGGCAATCCATGAAAGGCTGAGCCAGTGGCCTGCGCTGGCTGTGAAGGGGACCCAGGGGGAGTTTCCTGCTTCACCTCCTCCATGATTTCCCCGCACCTTTGCACGTGCTATTCTCTCGGTCCCAACACTCTTTCCCCAGTTTTTCATGTGACTGATACCTTCTCTTCTCAGCCTCAGCTTAACCAGCACCTCCCCTTTGAGGCCTCTCTGATCACCCAACCTAAAGCAGGCCACCCCATTGCTGCCCCTCCCCCCAAACTGATCTCAGGCCAAATTTTCCATTCATGGCGCTTATCACAGTTATAATTCTTTGTAGTTTGTTTACTGTTTGAGGTGTCTCTTCCCCACAAGGGCAGGAACCTTGCCTGTCTTGTATACATAGAGGATGGACAGATGAAGGGACAGACAGGGCATGGAGGGAAGGGATCAGAAGGGTGGGTCCTGTGGTGGAAGTCCAGCACACACTCAGGCAGCCTTTCCTCTGGCAAGGACTCTAATACACGCTCAGCTTTAGACCACACCCCAGCTCTCAAGAACCCCATCACCAGCATCTTTTGGAGTCTGTTGACTCAACTTCTAACAAAGATCAGAAATAAAAAATGTTCTGCCCTTTACCTTCTGAGACCTGTTGAGATTAAAAAGAAATATTTTATACTCAGTGGCGCGGTCATTTTCTAAAAGGTCAGACGGCCTGGTCCTGGTGGACACTGTGCTCAGTAATGCACGATTAAATCTTGGCCTGAAAGGTTATGTCCATTCCCTTTAACAGACGAAGCACCGTTCATCCTTGAGGGGCTCTAGTAAATTGCAAAACCATCAGTGTCTTGTGTGTAAGCCCTGGAGATTACAGACTACCCAGAGCAATAAAAAGGCCAAAGATCTAAGACTCAGAGATGATAAACTAAGAATTCTCTGGCCAAAAAAACAACATAGCAACAACCAAAGGCATATAAGGGCGGACGCTCTTGTTCCCAAGATGTGGCAGTGATATTGTTTATAACAAGAATGCCAATTTGTGGGGCACACATTGGAGCTTTTTATTTATGTGTCTGGAATTGATCGTGTTAAAAAAAATTCACTTCTAAGTGAAGGTGACCCAAAAGACTTTGTGTTTCCCCTAACGTAGGAGAACAGAATGCTGGCAGAGCATTCAACATCATACTTTATTTCATTTTTTAAAAAAGCATACAATTGTGTGTGTTTTTAAGGCAAAATATTCCATTTGGCCCCATATTTCTCCCCTAGTTTTCAAAATTTCCAGATTGCTCCTCCCTCCTGCAAAATAGCTCTCATGTGAAATAAGGCCATTGGGGCAGGTTTAACCCTCCTCTTGTCCCACTCTTAGAAGGGCTTCCTACTGAATGGAAGCCAATGCCCTCAGGTAAAGGTGAACTATCCATTGATACTTGGAAGAATGAAATTAGCCAAACTTCTCAGTTCTTTGGCCTGCTTACTCCATGCCTCCCCTTGCCCAATGGGCAAGAACTTTATCTTCATGTGAGTGGCTATACCTATCAACACTGATTTCTATACATAAAATGGGTGTATCTTGTTGTATATATGTTACATATCAATAAACTTAATTGAAAAATTTCCATTGGTGTTAAAGCCCTGGTTATTCTTCCAACCCCTACCTATTCACCTTCCTTGAAGCATTTCCAGCTCTCCTGGGCCCATGGTGATCCCTTCCTCTCCTGTCTCACTGCCCTAAGAATCCATGCTGTCCATTTGGCAATTCATCTAGTCTTTCTGTGTGACAATTTTATTGTTATTTAGCTTTTTATGGATTCGTGATTTGTCTCCCAGCCAGATTATGAATACCTTGGGGCTGGGAAACTCATTCCCTCTAAAGTATGGGGGTCACAACTGCTGGAGGCCCAGCAGACCCCTTGCTAGCTGCTGAGTGGACAGTGTAAGGGAGGTCTTGGTGGCCAGAGCACAGACACTGGGATGTGCCCCCACAAGGAGAAAAGAATGACCTAGTAAAAGGCACAGACATGCTGTGGATGGCAAACACCCAATGAGCCAATGAGAGCCAGCCCTGTGCCTTAGCACAGCTTATTTTGTAATGCTTTTCCTGCCTCCCCCCAAATCCTGGTGACCTCTAGGCCTGCTTCAAGGTGTCTCAGGATGTACTGGCCTCATCACCTTGGAAATTCCCTTCATCTCTCTTGTGTTGGCTCCCTATTTCCTTGAGTCTACATTCTTTCCTTTTGGTGAAGCACACCCTTCTACCCTCTCCAAAACAGAACACAGAGTATGTCTGAGTGTGGGGCTGATGATGCTCCAGGCAGGGCCCAGCAGCTTCAGAGACCCCAGTCAGCTCCTCCCCTATAGCTGACTCTCACATCAGGTTCCAGGCCCACCAGAACTTGCTGTAAAACATCCTTGACCTTGGGTCCTAATTGATGTTCTGGTGACCTTTCCATTCAACAATCATTCAGTGACTATTAACTGAGAGCCAACTATGAGCCAGGCACTCTTTTGGGCACTGAGGATTAAAGTGGTGGACAAAATAAGCATGGAATTCCCTACTTTGATTTGAGATGTGATATTATTGAAGTGGGGTGGGGCATGACAAAAGATAATAAGCAAGTGAACAAATAATGAATAGGGTGATTTCACATGATGATGAGTAGGATGAAGAAAATCAAACAGAATGTTGGGACAGAGGTGGTGATTCCTTGAGGTCAGGTGGCAAGGAGAGCCTCACTGAGGATGTGATATCTGTGTTATCAACTGACAGATACGGAGTCATCCATACTGAGATCTAGAGTAAGGGCATTCTAGGCAGGGGAAGAGCATATGCAAAGGCCCTGGGGTAGAAAAAAGCTCAATGAGTTTTGAGCAGTGCTGAGTGTCAGGAGCACAGTAAGGAAGTAGAGAATGACAGATGAGGTCAAGGAAGTAGGCAGAGGTCAAATGACATAAGGCCTCATATGTTATGAGAGTCTTTGGGATTTTACTCCAACTGTCATTGGAAACCTTTGAGTAGTTTTAAGCCTAGTCGTTGGGCCCCTCAAGGACAAAAATGTGTCTTACACATGTGGATTTTTCTTTTTTGGACCTAAAATCCTGGACATTCTAATAGTTCCTGGCAGAGAGTATCTGCTGAAAAGCATGAATGAAGACTCCCATGTTTCTGTATTCTCACCCCAATTCCCTACTGGTGGGCCCTTTATCACTTTGCCTTAGACCCTCCATATAACCTAAATTAAAACGCGTGTTTTCTCCCGATTTCCGCAGCCAGACTGGACCCCTCTCAGCATTTGTAACAAGGCTATAGATTATAAACTGTAGCAGCCTACCCAGTCCTGGGAGGTGGCACCAGTACCAGGCCTCATTCTGCCAAGTGCCCTGTGTCTCAAGCTAAAACAGCTCAAGGGGCCACAACAGAACCCAGTTGGGAAGGCAGCCCCTCCTCACAGGCCTCCACCACCTGACTCACCTTCACCCAGGGTCTGCTTGAGTAAGTCGTGCTTGGCCTGCAGCTTAGTGATGAGGTTACTGCCGTTCACATATTCTTTAAATTTCTGTAAGACACAAGGCACAAGGACATTACAGATTGCAGGGGCCAAGTCTCCTAACTCTGCTCTGGAATGGACCTCTGGGACAGGGAGGTCAAAGGGAGAGCACGTCACCCCAAAGGGAGCCTCTGCGGCTGCTCCTTTGCTCTTCCCCATCAGACCCCCAGCTCTGCCGAGCGGCTGCCCAGTCCCATGACTGCAGGCATTTCAGGTCAGTTCTGGGACCACAAAGAAAGCTCAGGGGAATGGGAGCAGTGAAAGGCGCTGTTGTCAGGTGAGGACTGTGGGAGCATTGAGTATAGGTCTCCACTGTGTTTCTGGGCCAAGAGCAACAAAGACTGAACCATCCCTGGGGCACATGGCTGAGCGAGAGTGCCCTATCGGACCTTCTCAGAGAGGAGCTTGGAACAGGTCTTTCTTCATCTGACCCCGCTCTGGAGGAGGAAGGGCTCTGCAGGCCCCAGAGATAGTCCTAGTAGAATAACCTCAACTGCATTGGGGAATCTATTTTCTTCTTTTTGCAGATGAGATGGGTAAGGCTAGCACAGAGAAGTGATGTGCCCAAGCCTCCTGGGACCTCCAGGCTGCCTCTAGCTCAGGAACCAAGTACAATGCACTCTGAGCAATGGGGAGGGCCGGGGCCACCCAGAATAGAAATGCACCTACCTGCCCCAAGTTCAGCAGGCCTCAGCCACTCCTCCATGCAGGTATCAGCTTTCCTGGGCTCCCCCACCCAGTATCTCATCACGCAAACACAGGGCTGGAGCCCTCTCTACTAGGGCATGTCTTTGCTGGACCTGTGCCACTGTAGGTGTGGTCCTTGCCCAATTCAGTAACTACTAAATGCCTGGTATATAGTAGGTGCTGAAAGATTGAGCTAAATCCCTGACTTGATGAAGTTGGCACAGCAGAGTGAGGAGAGAAACAATAAGCTAACCAAAAAAACACAGATAGTGAAGAAAGCTATGAATAAAAATAAGGCAGGAATGGAGGATTGAAATTTGGGGCAGACTTGGCCGCAAAGCTGACATGTGAGTCAAGGCCTGAAGGAGGTAAGGAAAGAGCCATGTAGGTATATCGGGGAAGGAGAGTTCTAAGCAGACAGAATGGCAACTGCAAAAGCCCTGAGTCTAAAAGTACAAGTATGCCTGTGATTGCCCAAAATCTGCCAGCTAGTTTCTTACAAGGAAATCCATTCTATTGCCCCAACTAGAAGGTTAGAAAGGGGTGCAGAGGAGCAAAGAAATGAGCTGTGGAGGCTCAGGAAGCCCCCATGTGACCTGTAAAGGAGCTTCTGGAACACCACCATCTTCCTGTGAACAGTTGTAAGGGGCAAGGCCATGGGGTAGGGGTTGACATGTGCATAGGTAAGATTGGGGTCACCTCACACTGTCCCCACCTCAGTAGGTTTCTGCACCGGTTGGGCTGGTGGAAGGCTGTGGTGTCCCACCTTGGCCATGTCCTTCTTAGCTCCTAGGACTTGTCCCTTGGTCCTTCAGAGTCATTTCCCTGTTATATCTATAAAGCACTTGACAGTGTCAAATACATCCATTCAGTTCTCACCACAATCTTAGATGGCAAATGGCTGGAACATTGTCATTTCTATTCTTCTCAGGAGGAGACTGGAGCTCAGAGCTGTGGCTAGTAAGTATGACCTTGGGAAGATTATTGAATATTTCTGGCTCCATGGCCCCCTCAGGGTAAAACGAGAGTAGACTCACAGTTATCTCCAAGTGTGGCGCAAGGACCATGGCTTCCTACTGGCTGGAGAGAGGGTCAAAATGCAGATTCCTGCTTGGGAATACTGAGAGTCTAACCCCTCATTTTACACCAAGGAGGACACCACAGAGGCCCAGAAATGTTCCCCTTTCCAGGGTCCCACCTTGGGGAAAGGTGGTAGTCTAGGAAACTAGGTTTTGAACAAGTTTTCCTATTATTCAAATGCACATTTCAGTTTAATAACTGCTCACCTAGAGGCTTTCTCTGAATGCTTCTGTTAGCAATGCCCCCTAATTCTATCCTGAGTTTAAGAATTCACCATAAAATGCACAGCTGAGGTATAAGTAGGTGTTTTATCTACTATGCTTCTCTGCCCCTGGTAGTTGAAGCTTTAATCACAAACATGTAATTTAAGCCTTAGTGGGTTAGTCACTTACACCCTGGGGTTCTGGGACCTGTGGACTCTGCCTACTTCTTCAAGTTTCACCCAGGTTTCAGGTGCGACCCATGAAGGAAAGGGTGCCATAAAATTGTACTTATGTCTTCATTAAAAGGAATATTGTGCCCTTGATAATACTCCAAATAATGTCACAACATCAAGTCGTGAGGTCTACTAGCCAACGAGGATGACAAATCAACATTAACATTGATGACCCTTAATGATGGATGTTGGTGAACTCCATCTTTTAATTTCAAGCAGGCTGGACCCCCTTTTCTGCATCTGCCACCCAAATTGCTTCCCTTCTGCTGCCAAAGTGAATTAGTACTCATATCCATTCCTCACTTATCTTTGTAACCCATAAATTTCCTCTGCAAACATAGGTAGTCCCCAGTGGAAGTGGTGAACCCCAAAGACTGACATCGGCAGATTCACTAAGACTAGCTATGAATTATTTTTTGAGAACAACAAAGTTGAAGAGTGTTGGTCGAGGAGATGGGTTTTTGACAAGGGATCTGACAAGGCCTGACACAAGGTGAATGTTAGGTGGATTTATGACTGGTTAAATGACCACAATCTAAAGATGCTGATTAGGAGGTCAAAATTAACCTAGTGGCCTGTTTTGAATGACTCTGTCTTTGGCCTTGCCCCTGACATATCCTTTTTTTAATTTTTATTGACAAACACTAAGTTTTGGAAGCCACATTCACTGAGTTTGCAGACTACACAAGGTCTGAAGAGAAAGTATATATGGTGAAAAACTGGATCAGGATCTTGTCAGTATGCACTGAATCCATGAAGAAGATTCCTAACTGGTGATAAACATAAGACCTACCCAAGATGTCACCTACTTATCCTTCAGGAGGAGGGCAATCTGGTTTAATGTTGGTGCAAGGGAATAGAGATTTATCTAATTGGTATTAACTTAGCTATTTTTTTTAAAAAAAGAATATGATCTTAGGACACATGAAAAGGAGCTTAGCACCTACTGTGGAAGGAGGTGAGAATTTAGTTCTAGCCTGTGCTGGTCAGACCACACTGCTGGGAGTCTCACTTTGGCTTTTTTTTTTTTTTTTAATAAATTTCATTGACTTTTACAGACAGGAAGGGAGAGGGATAGAGAGTTAGAAACATCGATGAGAGAGAAACATCGATTAGCTGCCTCCTGCACACCCCCTACTGGTACAGTGATTAGCCCATAACCAAAGTACATGACCTTGACTGGAATTGAACCTGGGACGCTTCAGTCTGCAGGCTGACACCCTATCCACTGAGCCAAAACCAGCTAGAGCTGGGATTCTCACTTTGAAAGAGGCTTTGACAAATGGAACGTGTCCAGAAGAGAGTCACTAGGATACTGAGACCTCTCAAAGGGAAAGTTTATGAGGCAGAACTGAAAGAACCAGATGTGTCTAACCTGGAAATGAAAACCCAGCTCCCTGTGACCACACTGAAGACTGTCCTGTAGAATTAGCTGCTCTATGGATAACCCCAGAGAAGAGAATTGAGATCAATGACCAGAAATCCCAGTGAAGCAGGTTTTTTAATAAAACAGAGATAATGGAAAACATTATATCTCTAGCCAACCACAGGCCAAACAAAAGGGCTGCTAGAGGAGGAGGGAGCTTTTCACCTTGGGCTGTTCAAGCAGAGCTGAATGACTTTTTGAAGAGATATGGTTGAATGGGATAAAGCATCAGATGGAGGATTTAAGGTCCCTCGTGGCCAAGTTGAATGTTAGCCATCTGGATTTTACATGAAAGCCTGGCAACTCACCACCAATTTGCAGGGTCACGCAGGGCATTGTTTTCAAAGCCTGCACCCCAATTTAAGACTACACAGCATGACAACCATCCACTACACTTCAGGGTTGTTACTGGGGCTTGCACTTGGCTCCATTACCATTTTCCTCTCACCCTACTGAACAAGAAAGCTGCAATAACCATCAATTCAGGATCAATGCCGATACTATCACTGGTGATTCAATTTCTGCATTTTACAAAGCCAAGCCAGGCAACTTAATTTGGGAAGTGCGTTGGAAGACCTGAGGATCTAACTGACCCACGTGCCTTCACTGGCTCCCACTAGCTTGGGCTGCTCTTCAGAAGTCAGTGCCAGCGGGTAAGCAGATAGCAGGTTCTGGGTCCACTTACTGTAAAATAAAACATTTCTGTCTCCTGCTGGTTGGCTCTCCTTTTGGCGATGTTGATCTTGCTCATGTAGGTCTCAGAGGCAGCCGACTTTACGGACTCTGTGGACCGACTGTGTTGGAAGGCATCAGAGACATCAAAGTCCTCCACGGTCAGCATGTCCTGTAAGGTCTGCATGGTGGCATCCAGGGTTTTTCTCACCTGGGAAAGCAAGTCGACAGAAAACTTTTAGCCTCAGAATGCCTTTGACACCTCAAAGTACTTTTCCTAACCATTACTTTCTTTCTTCCACACAAAGTCTCTAGGAGGCAGGCAGGACAAAGATGATCATTCCCATTATATTGATGTGCAAAGTAAGGCCAGTTAGCTGGCTGGAGTGAGCACCCAGGTTGACCAATCTTAAGTCATTTTATTAGATTGCTTCAGCCAGAGAGAGCCTTGGAGAATATTGTGATGAATAAGGAACTCAGGTTTCTTGGTTTGTTTCTCTTTACCTGGTTATAGTTTAGCCCCAAACTATATGGGAGGCATGCCCCTTGAGGAAGGACAACACTAGAAACACTCTTGGTTTCCTTTAGGATGGGGGCAAAGACTGGATAAGATGAGCGGCCATCCTCCATGAATGAACTCTCCAGCTCTCTGCCACCTGAGTCCTATCGAAACCTTCACAGCAAAGAGAACTTCGAGGAAGAGAGATGCTGAGACACCACAGTCTAGTTATTTCTCCAGAATCCTGATTTCTGCCTTGGGATAGAGTGGGACCCCTGGAAGGCTACACACACAAGGCCCATGAGCCCTCACCTCTCTATACCCCATCACTGATTTGAGCTTAAACGGCAAACCCTATAATTTGATGGAGTGTCATTCCAAAAACACTCACAGGAGAAATTGTACCTATGTTCACCGCTAAATTACTGTTGCTCAAAGTCTCTCGTCACTCAGGTCTCAACTTAAATGTCACCTCCTGGTGATATCAGGCTCCCTGACTACAATTTTTAACTTAATGCCTACCTCTGTCTAATAATCTGCATACTCGTTATTTATTAGTTTATTTTCTTTTGTATTTTGATTACTATCTCTCTTTTCTCAGTAGAATATAATCTCTGTGAGAGGAGGTACTATGTTGTCTTGTTTACTCACTTTACTCTTCATTTTAGCACAATGTTTAGCACATAATATATGCCTAAGAAATACCTGAATGAGTATTCATTGAATAGAAACTTGTTGAATGGATACATTAACAACTCAGTTCTTTCTAATACAGCCTGACAGAAGCTCAGGTTCCAAATCAAGAATTCCATGACCATGAACAGCCTCTACAGAGAAACACTCGCTTCATTCTTTCTCTGGCCCTAATTTCCAACTTAAATTCCATGAACATTATTATCCATACGCTGTTCCATGTAAACACTTTAAAATGCTTTGGGGAAAGATGTAGGCAGGAGTAAATAAAGAAAACACTCTGTTCATCTCCTCTGTCTTCTCGGGTTTGAAAAAAATATATATAATTTGTCTCCACAAAACCTCCCCCAGGGACTGCTTTGATTCAGAGTGACAGTCTGTCTCACATTCATGTTCATCCTACTTCTGTCCTTTATGAAGACAGAGTGAACCACCCTCTCTGCCAGGGCAGCCCTCTTGAGATATGAAGACAGGACCCTGGCTCCCATCACCTGCTATGAATGCACTTCTCAATAAAAAACCTGCCCACAATATCTAGTGACACTCCCCACATCCTGGTGTCCATTAGTTGGTTGACACCCTCCCTGCATAGAGGCATCAAGGCCGGAATAGAATTTTTCCCACCTAGCCTCATTAGTCCACATCAGATGGAACCACCACAGCTGGGCTTTCCATTTGTATCCTCCCAGTGGTAATCCTGTGCCACCAGCTGCATGGGAGGTATGCTGTCCATAGTAAGATAGAAGTTCCTTGGGGATCAGAATCCATGACACATTTAGTGTGCCTGGGGTTGTTTATTTAATTGTAAACATTAAAATACCTATTATTATTTCTGATGATAAAAATAACACAAATAACATTATAGAAAACAGAGAAAAGCACAAAAAAGAAAACAGAAATCACCTATAATCCACAACCCAAACATAACTACTATTTATATTTGGAAGTATTTCCTTCCAGTCTTTTTTCTATGCCTGTGAATACACACAAATATATATGCACACACTCTAGTCTACCTGAGTTATGATAATACTGAACATAAAATTTTACTTTCTCTTTGTGTTTCTTTAACTCAGCATCTTTGAGCATTCCCCCTGAAAGATTCTTGGTGTGCATGATTTTAATGGTTGTGTAAAAGTCCATCTTACAGAAGAACCTTAATTTCTTATGTATTCTTTGGTGAATATGGACTCTCCAGGACAAGTTAGGTTGTAAGGAAATCCCTTATAGGGCAGAGGGGATCACTCACCTCCTCATTCTCTATCTTGAGAGTGGCCAGTCTGGACTGCAGCTGGTGGTACCGCATGAGTAATTCTGTCTGGACAGGCTGCTGAGCGCTGACTTGGCACACCTGTAGGAATAACAGCCCCCACCTGCGGTCACCCAGTGTCCTCATCAGCTGTGTGGAGTTAGGGCAGGAGCTACCTCTATATATAAAAGGCTAATAAGCTAAGTGTTTGACCATCCAACCGGTCGCTATGACATGCACTGACCACCTGGGAGCAGAAGCTCAATGCAGGAGCTGCAGTGATGCACACTGGCCATTTACAAATTAACCTGTTGCCGACAAAGCAACACTTGGCTTCCCCCAAGTGGGACACAGGCCCCACCACCACCCTGGAGCAATACCCACCAAATCACAGCCGATGCTGCTGAGATCCCATGGCACAAAACGCGGCCCACTGTCCAGCCCACCCTAAAAAAGGTCTCTGTGGGCACTGGGTAATGATGTCACATAGCAACACCAAGCTTCCTCTCCCTAGTGATAACTAGCCTCCTTGCAGTTTCTTCAGCCCAGGAACATGACTTGCTTTATAGCCAGGTGGAAACATTTCACACTTTAACCAAATGTCTGTGAAGCATTTTCCTGTGCTTCGTCTCATTTAATCCTCACAGAAGTCCTGGAGTAAGTAGATAGGAGACTTGGTAGAATCCTATTTTCTTTTCATTAGCTAGGAAATGAAGATTTAGAAAGTTTAGAAACTTGACCTGACTGAAAAGAAGGAATGGTGGACCTTAAAAATGACTTCAGGTTTTCTCACTGCACAGAATATAGTCAAACACTGCTGCAGTTAAATATTTTACCCTTTGTTCTTCCTGAATGATCTACAATAATAATCAGCTTCATGTTGTTATTTACTGCTGTGTTGCTGACAATTACCTGAAAGAGAAGTTGGGGTGCTTCACTGGGCTGGAAAAAGTTTAGCTACATCAGAAAGCAGGTCTAATTAGGCAAGTTTATTCTATATCTATAAAAGGCTAAGTTGATTCTTGCATGCGCGATACATAAAAGCTCTTGCTGGTGCCAATCACATGCGTGTTTCGATCTGTCATTGTTGTCAATTTGGTTGACACTACTACTATAGAGAAAGGGCGAATAGTGATATTAAAATATTTCTTCTAATTAATTTTTATTTCAATGTGCATGAATCTGTGCACCAGGCCACTAGTCACTAATATCCCTATCAGATGCTGAGGAAACAGGTGTAGAGAGCTTAAATGACTTGCCATAGGTAACACCACCTATAGCTAATAACACCTGATGGGAACCAGGGGCCACCCTCTCTAATTGTAAGCTGTGGCCTCTCAGTTATGGTCTTCTACACTGTGCCCTCTTGATGGTTTACTAAACTCTGACATAACTAATCTCATAAAGTGAGATTAGTTAATTTCCAGGCAGGATATTATGGTAAGAAAGCAACCACTAAGAAAAGCCAATGGAAAGAACAATGAATGGGGAACAATGAGCCAGGTGCTCCTATTTCTCAGCAGGAAGATGCTTCCGAGAGGCAACTGTGAGGTGATCACCTCTCATAGACCATCTTCCTCAGCAGGTAGATTGGGTGAGAAATGGAGGAGAGAAAATGTGGAGAGAAATATTGTTTTCCCTACATCCATTCCACCCAGGGCTCTGTCACCACCTGCAGTCTGAGCTGCCTGGGGTGACTCAGCTGAGATTATAAGGAACAGCAGGGCTCTGTTATTTACTAGTTATTTACCACTAACTAGGCAACCCAAACTTTGCAGTCATCAGTAGTAACCATGAGGTCAGAATTTTCAAGGCCAGATAAAAGGGTTGGACATGAGGGATGGGGTAGGTGTTGCAGAAAGCCCTACTCAGGACTCTCCTTTGCAAATGAAGAAAGTGAGTAGAGCCACCTGGAGGGTCCAGCAAATGCTCTCTGCTAAGGAGCTTCCTTGTCCCTTCCCACCAAGCAAGTTTAGTAGATGGCCCAGCTGAGCTCTCACAAGATCCAGAGGCTGGTGGGGTCTTGTGCACCATTGGTCTGGGTCCCCCAAACTTCCAGGTGCATGGGTGGATATGTCTAGGTGGAGGGACAGGGACCACTAGGATAAAGTTCTGTGCGCATATCCCTGAGGTAGAGATAATGGAGATGGGGAGGCAGATATGATGTCTGGTGGCTATTCTCTTCAGTTCCAAGACTAAGGCCTGAGCCCCAGAGAGAAGGGGGAACTATTTGCGTAAAGGATTTTGTGAAACTTAGGTAACTAGAGTGCTTCTTTGGGGCCAGTGGCCAGTACCTTATCTTCCTTCCCACCCCAGAATACAGCAAGAATCCAAGCAGCACCAGCATTGAAGGAAACTCAGTTGGTGGCATATCTCCTGTAGTGGAGGGCAGGCAGTGCTCTCAAGAGGACATTCGCCAGAGTAACTGTGATGAGGCCCAGCCTTCAGTGATCAAAGGGAAGAATGTATGCAGATATACGACTCTCTTTAGCTATCCTAGAGTGACAGGGGGTGAGGGGGGCCAATTTTAAGGAGCACTAAGGTTCTGCAATTCTGCGGGTGGAGAACTTGAGCCAGTAAGGTTAAGGTATTAGTGGTAAATTCCTTGTCTGGGAAAGCCCTTGAACCAAGAACTTGGCCTCAGGCCTCTGAGACAAACATGCTGCATGTGGATTGGGGGCTGCATGTGGATTGGGGGGATTGGGGCTCCCACCAATGTTCTGGGAGCACGTGAGGGAACAGACAGAAGCAGTCTCAAGCATGGGCTCCTGGGAGGAACCTACCTCATCACCCATGTGGGGCTGGAACTCAAACTTGAGTGGAGGACAGAAGACCTGGTTGTACATGTCCATGACCGTGTGCTTGTCACTTCTGGAATCCAGGTTGTCCACTGCATTCTCAATAACATCCAGCCCCTCGTGGCGAGAGGTCTCCAGGTTGTACTCGGCTGAGAGGTAGGTCCGGAAGGTGCGGGCCAGGCTGGCATGAAAGCCCAAATCACAGCACTTGGAGACAGGCACACAACAGAAGGGTGCAGGTGAGGGCTGTGATGTGAATGTGGGGACCACAAGTATTTCCTGTCCCATCATGATGACCTTTCACTCCATAGTCAAAATGCACAAGGGGGCCCTTGTGCATTTTGGAGCCCTACCACACAAATCACATTAAACCCTTCAAGGGAGACTTGGGGATTGCAATTTGGGCAACAGCAGAACTTCCCTCAGCTTCCCAAATTCACCACATTCTTTCTCATCTCCAGGCCTTCTCACAGGCATTCCCTCTGCCATGCATACTCTTCCTCTCTCCTCCTGCCTAAACATCCTTCCTTCAGGTTTCAGTTTAGAGGTTACTTCCTCCAGGAAGTCTTCCTTGATGTTCTCTTCACTCAGAGTTTACATCTGATGTCCCTCTCTCCAGTTCCCTCATTGTGACACCCGCCTCATGGCATTGTGATTGCCTGTTAACGTATCAGGGTTATACAGGGTAAGCTCCCTGAGGGCAGAGCCGCTGGATTTTGTCTACTGTAGCACTTCAAGACCTAGAATGAACAGCTGCTCAATAAACACGAGAAGCAGTCCCAGTTCCAACATACGTGACACCTGGGGGTGCTGAACATGTCTATACCATCCTAGGAAATCTCTAGGGCATGAACTGTGGACAACCACTCCCGTATCCCCAAACCCAGCCAAGGGCCTGGGCTAGAAGAGGGCACTTCGCAAGTGCAGGCTGAATATGACTGCCCGACCCAACTCTGTAGGGGCTGCAACAGGCCCACTCCCACCCTCAGAAGTAGAAACCCATTTCCCAGACCCCACATGCCCACCACCCTTCCACTCCACCCTGGACCATCAGCAAAGGACAGGGGCCAGCCCCTCCTTCAGCCGATGATCTGCACCAGCCCGGTGTAGGGCCCTTCCAGTCCCAGATGCCAGGTGCTCACGTCTATCAGGTCGGAGACATCGTGGATGTAGTATTTGCTTATAGCTGCGTTGGTGGCAGCCAGATTCAGCAAGTAGTCATTCCGGGCCTTCGTGCACTTCAGTTTGTTCTCAGAATACTTTGCCTGCCTCTGAAAGAAGAAAAGAGTAGGTGTGAGAGCTGTTGGTTAATCCTCACCCAAAGATATTTTTTCCCCATTGATTTTTAGAGAGAATAGTAAGAAGGGAAAGAGGTGAAGAGAAAAAGAAACATCAATGTGAGAGAGAAACATAAGCTGGCTGCCTCCCACACATGACCAGGTTGGGGATCAGACCTGCAACTCAGGTATGTACCCTCATCTGGGAATCAAACCCATGACCCTTGGGTGCATGGATTGGTGCCCTCACCACTGATTCACAGAGGCCAGGGCTGGGGTTTTCTTAATGGTCACTCCATGATTAAATACACTGTACCCCTCTGGAATACCTTACTCTATATGCCAGCTGAGTAAGATTTGGGCTCTGTACTCAAAAAGCTCACCTTCCATTGCCCACAGGTAGCCAATGACAACACTATTCAATAAGCAGCTGCCTGTTACTGGCCTCTACCAGAGCTTATTTTTTAAAAATATATATTTTATTGATTTTTTTACAAAGAGGAAGAGAGAGGGATAGAGAATTAGAAACATGGATGAGAGAGAATCATCGATCAGCTGCCTCTTGCACACCCCCTTCTGGGGAATGTGCCCACAACCAAGGTACATGCCCTTGACCGGAATCAAACTTGGGACCTTTCAGTCCACAGGCCGATGCTCTATCCACTGAGCCAAACCGGTTTGGCCTACCAGAGCTTATTAATAAGACTTCCTGAGGCCTACTCACCAGCACCCAATGGCTGTCCAAAGTATTGTGATGGCCCCTTGTGATCTCCCAAGCCCCTCTTCCTCTAAGCTCTCCCTCATTGCCAGCTTTCTCTGCCCATCCTTTAAAAGGCCAACTTCATTCATGCTTCTATTCAAACTGATTGTTCTTCCTTCCTGGCAGGCCATCCTTCCAAGTCTCTGTGTGATCTGGTACTTCATGTCATGTCCTGCAGGTCCTTACCCAAGGTCTACGCTGTTCATTTTGTGGGACTGATGAAATGGTCAGATCAGACACTGACGGCAGCCTTGTCTAAAATGTTGCCAGCATCTCCACCATCCCTCCCTCCACCCTCTATCCCTTTGCCTTTTTCAATTTTTCTAGTTTATTTAATCTTTATTTCATTTTTAAGACTTTATTTTTATGGCAGTTTTAGGTCTATAGAAAAATTAAGAAGATGGTGCAGAGACTTCTGATATGCCCCCGCCCCACATACATACAACCTCATCCATTATCAACAACCCCACAATAGTACATTCACTAACTACTACCCAGAGTCCACAATTTACCCTGGGCTTCCCTCTCGGCATATTCTATGGGTTTGGACACCATTAGAATAGCACACAGACTAGTTTCCCTGCCCTAAAAACCTGCTGTGCTCTGCCTTTTCATCCTTCCCTCCCTAAAACCTCTGGCAACCTCTTATCTTTTCACTGTCTCCATCATTTCACCTTTCCACCATGTCATATGGTTGGAATCATACAGTACGTATTGTTTACAAATTGGCTTCTTTCACTTACATCATAAGTGCTTTAAGGTTCCTCCATGTATTTTCATGGCTTGCTAGCTCATTTCTTTTTGGATCTTGTACATTTAGTCAATATTCCATAGTCTGGATTTATCACAGTTTATCCATTCACCTACTCAAAAACATCTTGATTTCTCTGTTTTTCTTCAAAAGCACCACTTACTGCCCAAAATTATATTTTTTTACTTCTTTGTGTTCTTGCTGATTTTCAGTGACCCCCCACTAGAAATTAGACCCTGTGAAATCAGGGACCCACTCTGCCTTGCTCGGCTCTGGACCTGTTAACACCCAGACCTGTCCCTGCACAAGGCAGTCAGTCATTCAGTGGTTTTCATGGGCTGTCTGGGTGTGAGAGGAGGAGAGGCATAGCAGGCAACCCAGGGGCAGTGTTGGCGAGGAGTCCACCTGTCTCCCTGGGGAGCTGCTCCTGTTCTGGCCAGCTGCAGGAAGGAATAGAGGTCATGGGTTGAAAGGCTGTCCCCTTACTCCTTTCAGACTAATGAGTCCCACTGCTGGGTAAAAAACAAACAAAAAACAAAACAAAACAAAACAAAACAAAAAACAGCTCTCCTTAGAGTTTCCTCCTTCATCTAGACACCCTTAAATCTTCCTTATTCCAGACTGAGTTCTAGCTTTTTAGTAGAGGAGTCCCCAGAGATCCCCTCTGAGCTTTCTTTCTCCAGGGACCACTTATTCTGGGAATTTCAAAAAAACATACTCCAGGTAATTACTTCCTATACCAACCATGCATCCAACCCTCACCAGAGAGTTTTGATAACCCTGACCAGTTTGCAGTTTTGATAACCCTGACTCTGATGTTGAGACCATTTTTAGCCCTTTATGGACTCATAAAAGTTTATACCTGGGAGGGTAGTAAAAGTATCTTAGTTTAATTCACCCATTCTATAAGTGAAGAGATAACTGAAGGGGAGAAGTAGCTTTTCCAAGGGCCAAATGGCTAATTTACATACAACTCTGAATGAAAGATTGTTTCTACTTCTGTGGGTGGGAGTGGGCCTGTTGCAGCCCCTACAGAGTTGGGTTGGGCAGTCATATTCAGCATACACTTGCCAACTCCCAGTGAGTATTCTCTCTACCCCTTTAAATATCCCTCCATGTTGTTCTGTAATTCCCTGCCTGATTGTCTTTTTAAAATATTTTATATATATATATATATATATATATATATATATATATATATATATATATATATTTCAGAAAGGAAGGGAAAGGGAGAGAGTGTTAGAAACATCAATGATGAGAGAGAATCATTGATTGGCTGCCTCCTATATGCCCCTAAATGGGGATCAAGCCCACAATCCAGGAATCCTGATCAAGCCTGATCAGGAATCAAACTGTGACCTCCTGTTTCATAGGTCGATGCTTGACCACTGAACCACACCGGTTGTGCTAAATATTTCTTTGTTTAGTATATTCACAGAGTTATATAATCATCACCATTATCTAAATTTAGAATATTTTCATCATCCCAAAAAGAAATCCTATACCCATTAGCAGTCACTCCTTATTCTCCTCTGCCCCAGCCCCTGGTAACCACTAATTTACTTCCTATCTCTATGGATTTGTCTCTTCTGGACATTTTATATAAATAGAATCCTACATGTGTGGCCTCTTGTGATTGGCTTATTTTACTGTTTCCAAAATTTATCTATGCTGTAGCATGAATCAATACTTCATTCCTTTTATGACTAAACTAGAGGCCCAATGCCTAAAAATTTATGCACTGAAGGGGGGTCCCTCAGCCAGGCCTGCTCCCTCTCACAGTCCGGGAGTCTTCAGGGGTGGGAGGCAACCCGGTGATCAGGGGAAGGCGATGCCCCTTTCACACCTCTGCTGGCAGCGCAAGCCTCAGCCGTCCCTGGTTACCTGAGCCTTGGGTGGCCCTGGGTGGCTGGGCAGCTGCCATCTGAGACTTGCCTGTGCCTTGAGCCAGTTCTGAGTGGCTGGGGGGCTGGAGGGGCTGGGGGACTCTGGAGGCAGACACCCAGCCTTGCTGAGTGCCTGCCGCCCTGGCTGGGCTGAGGGGACTGGGCACCGCCATCTTGTGGGTGTGGGTACGTCCATCTTTGAGGGCGGGGCAGTCAATGAGCATATTCCCTCCTTATTAGATAGGATAATATTCTGTGTTCAGGCCACATTTTATTCATCCATTCTTCAGTTGACAGATATTTGGGTTGCTGCCACTTTGGAACTATTATGAATAATAGTTCAATGAACATTCATGTGTAAGTTTTTGTGTGGACATATGCTTAAATTTCTCTTGAGTGATACTTAGGAGTGGAACTGTTAAGTCATATGGTAACTTAGTCTAGGTTTAAATTTTTGTGGGATTGCCAAAACATTCTCCAAAGTGGCTGAATCACGTTACCTTCCCTCCAGCAGTGTCCACAGGTTCCATTTTCTCCACGTCCTCATCAATGTTTGTCATTGTCTGTCTTTTTATTTTAGTTATCCTAATGGATATGAAGTGATGTCTCACTGTGGTTTTGATTTGCACATCCTTAATGACTAATGATGCCAAGCATTTTTCATGTACTTACTGACCACTCATACATGTTTCTTTGGAGAAATGCCTATTTAAATACTTTGCCCATTTTTTAATTGAGTCTCTGTCTGATTATTGTGGAGACCATTTTTCTTTGCCTTTAGCAATTACCCTGAAGTCTTATTTTATTTGCTTCTGGTTACTTTTCCTGCTTACCTAGGTCCTCTTGGATCTTGTTCCCACTCAATCTCCTATAATTCTTAAGAGCTATAGGATCATATCATCATAGAATTCATCTCACTGAAGCCCAAATAGACATCTGGCACAATGTTTGGCACATAGAAAGAGCTCAGGAAATGTTTGCTGATTCCACAGACTGAATGGCTGCAGATGATTCAACAAGAAATGGTAGATTTTCAAGAAGAAATGAACCTTAGAAGTCTCCTAGTCTAGGATGACAGAAAAGCAACTTGTGCACTGCCCCTATATATTCTGGCCATGGCAGACATTATTAATTGATCACAGCACTGTTTTTTAGCTAAAGGCGGAAGACAGCTCATGATCCTCAACACAGAGCTCTGGGTAGCCACTACCAATCCATCAGAGTTGATGTGAGAGGGGAGAATTATCTGCCATCACTGTCAGATTTAAAAACTGAAGCTCAGAGAAGCAGCTGTGGCATTTTCAAAACTCAGTCTACCTGACTCCAGAACCAGAGTACTCCTCTCACCATATCCTACTGAGGCACTTCCCAGCACTGATACACAGCCATTCCAATCATCTACCTCTGCTTTGGCAATGGCAACATTGGAATGGATTTTCCCAAATTCCCAGTGCTGGTTGGCAGCCCAGTGCTGTTCCCTCTTGTTGGGACACACTCAGTCCTAACCAGTCCCTAGACACCTAACTGACCCCCGGAGCAAGCCCCCGCCCCTCACTAATGCCTGTGCTCTGGGCTATGAGTCTCATCACAGTTCAACTCTCTTATCAGCTGAACACATCTTCCATCTGTTGACCCTGGCACAAGCCAGACCTGCCTCCTTCATGACACTGACCTCCAAGAGAGCAGATGTGGGCAGCATTATTCTACCCTCACAAGCCCCAGGGTGCAGAGAGGGAGGCCAAGGCTGTCAGGGAGCATGGACCCCAGGGCCCTCACTCGCCTTCTCCTTCATCTTCTCAATCTTCTTCACGGAGCTGCGGCGCTGGGGCCGGTCATCGTGCCGGAGCAGGTTCATGCTGAGCTCTCCCGCCTTGTTGAACTGCTTCTCCTCCTGCTTCTCAGCCTCCTTCAGCTTGCTCTCCGCACTGATGCTCTCTGCATGGTACATGTGGTAGGTTTTCATGACCTGGGGACACACAAGTGCAGGAATCAGCAGGCTGTTAGGGCCCAGCCCAGGTGGCTCTAGTGCTCTCAGCCCCCTAAATTCTGTGCTCCAGTCTGCTCGGCCCTTCCTCTTCCCGTGATGCGCTCTGAGCTCCCATAGCTCCTTACTTCTGCAAAGCTCTCTGAGGACTGGACATGATGATTGTCAGTAGCGGCTTCATAGTCATCATAATCATTGTCATCATCACCATCATTAAGTCCTTACTAAGTGCCAAGAATGGACTAGCAAAGAGAAAACTTAAAAGGGCAACCACAGTCCCTAAGCATTTGGGGTCTCAGAGATGATATGGAAAGTTGCTGCTCTCTCTAGCCTCCCAACCATAACTGTGTCCCTGACCCCTCCCCCAGGGTCACGGGGAAAGCCCCTCCTCCAGTACTCTCAGAGCATCCATGGGACCATCCTTCTTACTCACAAATTATTTTCTCAGCTGTTTCATTAAGTAAAATTGGCCTACAAATGACTGTTCCCAAAAGGAGTACTATTGGGTAACTGAATACATCTAAATACATATTCTATGCTCTCTGAACTAAATTCATATAAAATGAATTCCTGTAAAGCATATTGCCCTTTGCTACTCTGTGTCCATAACAAAAGTTGGATACTGTTATAACAAAAGGATTTTTGAGTCAGAGGAAATCCTAAATGTCTTCTAATCTGACTACCAAATTTTATAAACAGGGAAACTGAGGCCCAGAAGGTCCTCCAAGATCAGTAGTGGTATCAGCATAGTCTCCAGACTTTACATCCATGTGGCCAACCCCACAAACAAGGTATAGATATAGAGCACTTCTATTACTCTGGAAGAGCCTGGTGCCCCTACACAGTCATTACCCACCCCTACCCCAGACCCAGGCAATCACTGATTCGCTTTCTATCACTGTAGAATTCCATTTATATGGAACCACAGAGTATAAACCCTTTTGGATTTATCCTCTTTCACTCAGCATAATTTTTTTTTTCAGATTCTCCCATGTTGTTGCATGTATCATAAGTTCTTTTTTATTGCTGAGTAGTACCCCATAGCATGGCTATACTACAATATGTTTATCTATTTTTTGTTTGCTTGTTCATCCTCACTCAATTATATTTTTTTCATAGATTTTTAGAGAGAGTGGAAGGGAGGAAGAGAGGGAAGGGGAGAGAGAATCATGGAAGGGAGAGAGAGACAGAGAGAGAGAGGGGGGGGGGGGGATTGATTTGTTGCCTCCCACACATGCCTGAAGGGCTGGGGATCAAACCTGCAACCCAGATATGTGCCCTTGACTGGGAATCGAACCCTTGACCCTTCAATGTGCAGCCCAATGCTCTAACCACTGATCCACCGGTGAGGACTGATTATCTATTTGGATGTTGATAGTTATATGTATTGTTTACAGTGTTGTAAAGCTGCTATGAATTGTTCCTGTACAATTCTTTGCATGGACATATGTTTTCATTTCCCTTAGGTAAATATCTAGGAGTAAAGTGGAGAGTCATATGGTAAGTGTATATTTAGCCAAATTAGAAATCTGGTCTCTGACTTTTAATCCACTATGTTTCTAACATATCATACTGTTTCCTTAATTTATTCCAATTTTCTCATCAATGAATACTCTTGGCAGCCTTAAAGCAATATCCTGTCTCCTGGTCCCCAACTAAAAGTACATTTTTTCTTTGAAATATCAAATTTATGATCATATCTCTATGCTAAGAAATACAAGAAATTTCTGGAATCCATGGCTCCTGGGCCTTGTTTATTCTCTCTATCCTTTGGCTAATTACAGCAGCTAATAGAGCAGAGGCTTCTACGAGGGCATGGGGTGTGCTCCTGCCTAGCCAAGCCCTTCAGGGAACTTGGAATGAAATACTGGCCAACATTATAACCTAATTTATTCTCATTTACAGTCTTGTGAGGTAAGTTTATCAGAATGAAGATTTCTTCTGTGACTCTCACCATTAAGTCACAACATTGATCTGTGGTTCAGAAAGTTCCCTTTGCCAGAGGTCAGGAGTCAATAGGGGCAACATCTATTGTACAACATGGTGGGTAGACATGTGGACTCTGGGCCCAATTGTCTGGGCTGAATCCCGAGGCTGCCATTTACAAGCTGTGCAACCTTGGGCACGTCCTAACCTCTCTGACTTCCCTCCTCAGCTGGAAAATGGGGATAATAGCACTTAACTCTGGTTTGTTGTGTGGACCTAAGGAGTTAATGTTGCAGGGTTAGGAGCATTAGCTGTCACCATCACCATTATCACCATCCTCTCTGTTTAGGCTGAGGGTTTCAAACTTTGAACTCACTTGACTTCAGGGAAATGTTTGTAAATTCTAGAGAACACCTACTCTTGTGAGAGAGGAAAAAAAATACTCTATGCCATGTTTCTCCCTCCTTCTTTCAACCTGAAAATCTCCCCAAATTTCAAAAAATAAAATAAATAAATGGATTAAAAAAAGGCAAACTTTTTTTTGTGTAGATCTTGGTGAGAAGACCACTTGTCTGCATTCCACCCAATTTATTGTTGTTGTTGTTGTTGTTGTTGTTATTATTATTATTATTATTTTGCTTATTTGCAGTTGCTCTAAAACCTCTAGAGATCCCCTTCTTGCTGATTTCATCCACCCATTTCCACTCAGTGGATTTCCAAACTCAAGGGGCCAGAAAGTGCTGGATTGGTGCATTCTTGACATCTAGTGGCCAAAAGGAAGGGTTGCAGGCTTGTGAGTAGCCAAGGCAGTTGGCTATTTTTAACTATCTCCTTTGTGCAATGGCTCCAGGAACGTGATGCAGCTAAAAGTTGGCAATGCCTGTTCAAGTCTGCCTCCAGGGCCCTGCCTTTCCCATTCTTGACTATTTCCTCTATCCTTCCACATTGAAAGATACCACTGCTTTCTTTGCTTTTCTGCCATGGCTCTGGCGATGTTCATTTCTGGACTCCACCCTTTCTAGGTTCAATCCTTCCTGCTACATCCATTTTTTTTTCTTTCTTTTTTCCCTACTTCAACTGCTGAGGTCTGCTTATTTCAGCACTAAATCTGTCATTTGTGTTATGTAGTTCAGAGGAAAACAGAGCATTCTATTTGCATCTATATCTTCCTGTGCAATCATCCATGCATGCATCCATCTACTCAATCGGGTTGAGAAGGGCAGAAATAGACTATTGGGGACCAGCTATAATTATAAGAAATATTGCCGAAACCGGTTTGGCTCAGTGGATAGAGCATCGACCTGCGGATTGAAAGGTCCCAGGTTCAATTCCAGTCAAGGGCATGTACCTTGGTTGCGGGCACATCCCCAATAGGGGGTGTGCAAAAGGCAGCTGATCAATGTTTCTCTCTCATCGATGTTTCTAACTCTCTCTCCCTCTCTCTTCCTCTCTAAAAAATCAATAAAATATATTTTTAAAAACATTAATAATACTCTGTTAACCATGATTGTTTTGTTCTGATTGAATAAGGCACACTCTAACATGGCTGGGAGTTGCACCTGGAACCTGGGAGCTCACCTGGAAATGCAACCCACTCTCCCCATCTGGGAACTGCCTATCATCATCAAAAGATTAACAACCTTAATGCAGAAACCAGAGCTGCCAGCCCTTTGAAGACCCCCAGCCTTTGCATACCCACAGGCCTTTACAAGTCTCCAGTCCGAATTACCTGTAAACTGCCCATCTGGCATACCTTTTGGCTACTTCCCATGTAATCATTGTCTTTCTACCCAATATAAGCAGCTGGCTAATGGTGTGGTGCAGAGCAGATTTTTGTGGATGGCCTACTGCTCTCCCCTACTGCTGGCAGTCTTGGAATAAATGCTCATATATGATTCAGCTCTGTCTCTGAATTGGCTCAAGCCAAGATCCTTTGATTGTCTGGTTACAGGGTCAGCACCCCAGCAGGGTGTTCTTAGTTTCTCACATTTTCCTTTGCCTAGTTTTCTACTCTTCTTGAACCATAGAACACTTTTTCCGCTCTTCAACAAGCCAAACTTCCCAGTGCAGTCTTTGAACTGCATTCCAAAAACCCCATGTTTGGAGAGCATAGCCCTGACAATGCTGGAGCCATATGCTATGTTGAGCCATATGCTATGTATCCAATTGGTAATTCCTGATCTCAAGAATATCAGGGAACTGGATGGCCCGGTGACTTATATCCAACAGCCGCCACAAAAAAAAAGTTTACCTGGGGCCTCTCTGAGTCAGGTCTAAGTACTTATACCCAGAATCCTCCAGATAAACTGAAACATAGGAGTCAGCATGAAAGGTCCTTAGTTCATAGCCTAGAATATTCTGCTCAATATTGTCAGTCTAAGATATGTTAACTAATACTTAAATTATCTGTTACTTCAAAGTTTGTAAACCTCTCCTTTTATTATCTCCAAGGAACATTTCAGTTAATCCTTATCCCAAATCCTGGGAGGCAATGTGATAATAACAATAGCAGCTGACATTTATTGAGCATTTACTACCTACCAGGATTTTATATATAGTTTTTATATATAGTAACTCATTTATTTCTCATAAAAAAAAACAACAACATCCTATGAGATGGGTACCATGTAATCCCTACTTTATAGATGAGGAAACCACAAAACAGGAATGAAGGATCCTCTACCCCAGGAGGCCCAGCTTTGAGACTTAATGTTCCCACCACTGCTGGGTGACCATGGCAGAAGCTTGTCTTCTCTGTGCTATCTGGTGAAGACCAGATGGGAGGTAGGTAGGAAGGTGCTTCAAAAAGTATGACTGTAAGACTATAAAGTGACTGGTTGACAGCAGTGCTGGGCTGGGAAGGGAGCAGCATGGATGCAGGCCTTTAGCCAAGACCCAGCCTCCAACCTGGGATCGCTAAAAGGCCCCTCAGAGGCACACACACACACACACCCAGTTTCATGCCCGATGGGGGTTCCTGTCCTGCCCTCTGGACTCTATCAGAAGGGGGCCTCAGAACAAGGCTGAGATGCACGGTGTAGGGATATGTTCTTGGACCCAGATTAGTTTCATAAGTGCTTGGAAGGCCCTCCAAAAATCTTGGTGAATTAACCCCTCACTGAAGGAAATAGCTAGTGTACTGTTCAAAGGTAGATAGCAAGTTGTACAGTCAGGCCTTCTTAGCAGTGGGCATTGTCTTCTCTGGTAATCACACTGCCTTCTGTTGTGTACACTTTGCCTTTGACATCTTCCCAAAGCCTCGGATCATGAAAACAGGAAAGTATTATCTGCACAGCCCCTCAGATGCTCTTTTACATGCAAACAAAGGTGAAGGCGATCCGGGAGTTGACAGTATCAATATGGGGACACGCTGAGGCAGGATATGGATCAGTTGTTAGAAAACAGGTTTTCAACAAGGTAGTGCAGGTGTGCTTCCTATACCCAAAGGCCATCCCTGGGTTATCCTAGAGTTGTGCGGGGGAGACCCTGAGCAAACACATGTCAAAGACATCCTTGAAAGAAAAGAGAAGTCCCTAAATTTCATTTTGACCACCCACACTCTGTCTGACCTACATTCTCCATAGAAGTTATCATCACTATTTTAGTTATTTATTTTGCAGGTTTATAAACATCCCTGCTAAAATTAAAGTCCAGGAGGGCCAGATCTCCATTTATGATCATATTCATTATATTAAAGCGGAGATAGATACCCAGCAAGTATCAATATATGTCTGCATGAATAAGTGAATGAATAAGAACTGGCCTGCTGAATAGATGGATAGGTGGATGGGTAGATGGATAGATGAATGGATAGACAGATAGGAGGGTAGATGGATGGTGGGTAGATGGATAGGTAGGTGGGTAAAATAATGGATATGTGAATAGAAGGGATGGAAGGAGGAGAGGAGGGAGAATAAAATAGGGGAGGTATAGTTTTACTGCCTTCAATTTGGTAAATATAATTGGGGTGGGGTATAGCTATACCTTTAATAATCACATTTTTATTGAACAGGTTATTATAAGCTAGGTGCTATACTAGGAAATACCACGGTGTGAAAGACAGATAGGGTCTCTACCCTCACAGAACACACCCTCTAGTAGGGATACAATTATATAAGTGATTGTCACACAGTGTAATAAGTATATGATGAGGGAAGTACAGGGCATTTAAGGAATGCTTCCTGGAGAAGAGTAGCTGTTAGCTGGGTGAAAGGGGCATGGAATGGGGGTAGGGTTGGATGGAATATTCTAGATAAAGGGAGCAGTGTGAGCATCAAGCCCAGGAGCAGGAGCCAAATAAGTTTGAGGAGCAGAGGTCTGAGCACTAGCCAATGGAGCTACTTCCTTATTCTCCCCCAGCTACTCCTCAGTGGACATCTGTTGTTTTTCTTTGCCTAGGATCATCCTCCTTCTTTTAGAACAGCTCCCTCATTTTCTTTGAGAAAATCCTCCCAATTCACCTCCGCATTTTCAGTCTATGTGGTTGATGGGAAACTAAAACCAGACTCCACCTGAGGGTGAGCATGAGACCCAGGCCTGGCCAGTTAATAACATTATGTTAATCTGGCCACAGTGAATTAGACCTCATGATTCCAGCCAGGCCAATAAGAGACAGCCACGGGCTTTGCTGGACACACTGGAAAGGGCACTTCTCTTTCCACTAGGGGGCGCTAAGCTGATAGAAAATGAACTTACAGTGAGGCTGGGTGGGGAGACCATTTTTGTAACCAATAGGAGAAATTTGCCTGATCATGAAAGCAAAACAGAGGAAAACAAAATCAAAAGAGGGAGGCAGGCTGATTTTCACAGGTTGATGGATGGGTGGATGATGGATGGATGAATGGATAGATGTGTAGACAGATGGTAAGAAAGGAGGAAAGGAGAGAGAGAGGAATGAAGGGAGGGAGGGAGGGTGGAAGGAAAGTGAGGGAGGAAATAGGATAAAATGGAGGAGGTATTGTTCTATTGCCTTTGATCTGGTGAGTATTATATTTTGGAGGTGTTGCTTGCAACGGAAGAGTTGTGGTAGGCAGTTAGACAGGCAAGAGCAGAGCAAGGACAATGGGCCAGGTACAGAGGTCACCAAGGCAAAACTGGGAAAACAAGAACCTTGTCTCCAAGGTGACTTTCCTACCCTAGCATATTGCTGATCATGAGGTTCAGACTCTCCCCTGACTTTTCCTCCCCTGGCATGTTGCTAGTCATGCGGGTTAGAGAGGATATAAACAAGGGAGAGCATTAAGCCCCCAGGATAATGAGGTTCTGACCTGAATCAAATACATCTAGGCCTCAGCTGTGTTTCAGCTCCAGGCCCAGAAAAGCTGCAAAACCAGAAAAGCAGCAAAACCAGACCAGACACACCAAAGCTGACCTCTGGACCAGCTGTATTGACTAAAGACCCTGCCCTGGCCGCCAACGAATCAGTGGAGACCACAATCCAGAAAGGACACACCTGGAAAGCTGATAAATATTCTAATGAGATCCTCCCCTGAGAACTCCCCTAAAATCTATACCCTAGCATGCCTGGGCCTTTCCCCTCCCCCTCCACTCCTCCCAACTACCACCTCCCAGGTATACCTTTACCCTTCTCTCTCTTCCCCTCCCCCTCCACGCCTCCCAACTACCACCTCCCACGTATACCTTTACCCTTCTCTCTCTTCCCCTCCCCCTCCACGCCTCCCAACTACCACCTCCCACGTATACCTTTACCTTTCTCTCTCTTAAACTCCAAGACCCTTCTTTTGATGCTGTAACTTGTTTCCTGAACCCATTTCTTCTACCATCCACTCTTCTACCTCTATGACTTTCTAAATAAATTTTCTCTTATAGTTTCAGTCTTGGTTCTGAATTCTTTCCTAGCCAGAACTCAAGTATTAAGATTGCTGAACTAAGGCCCCACTGAACTAAGGTCTGACACCTGGTGCCATTTTTGTTGTAGCTACCAAGAGAGTGAGCGTGCTGGGGTGCCAACAGCAAACCCCTCCCTCAGTCATTTGCTGACTGCACATTGAGTCTTCAGGAGTTGCCCAGAAATTCATTTCATGCATATGCAGCTGCCTGCTGTGGACCCAGTGCTGTAAGCACAGTGACAGGCTGTGAACATTTCAAGAGTTGGCCTTTGAAGTGTCTTATACATCCCTGGTGTTCCCAGGGTGCTTACTGAAGCAGAGAAGGGAGGGAGGGACGGACATGTGAATAAATGAAAGAAACTGCTTTTGCCCACAAGGAGTTTAGAATCTGGGCAGGGAGAAAAGAGTAAAGCATGTGCAAGGATGATACAGCAGTCCCAAACAGCATAGTGTGTGCTGGATATGTGGCCTGGGAGGGAGGCTGCACCATGTTCTCCACAGTGTGTCCAGAGCCTCCAGCATTGCTGGCATATAGCCGGTGATCAATACATATTTGGTGAGTGAAGAAATGAGAGGAAGAGTGTGCACGCGCATGAGAAACTAGTTAAGAGTTCAGAAAAGTGATGGCTCCAGGTGAGCTTCTGTGTTCAAGAGTAAGTCTGAGCTTGCTGCCTTGGGATGGGTAAGAATTCAAGAAGCAGAGGGGAAGAGAGGAAGAGAAAGGAAATTCTCAGCAGGAGAGGCAAAGAAGAATCCCAGCAGAGCAAACAAATCTGATTACAGACAAATCTGGGTTTGAAATCCTGCTGGACGATCTACCAAATAAATTCCTGCACTATGGCCCATGTGTTTGTGTTCCCCCATCCACTCACCTTCTTGGATTCTAACACACATCCTAAGTCTAGTTAGATTTTGCCTCCACACAGATAGCAAGGTCAATTCTTGGCCAAATTGTGATGTTCTGAAATTATTTCCTGGAGATGGTAAGGCATGCTCATCCCCCTCAGCTCATGTGATCCTCAGAACAGTGCCCTGTTTTGCAGATGAGAATACTGAGCCCACATGAGCTACGTGGGTGCCTAAGTTCCCGCGGTCAGCAAGGAGCAGGCTTTGACTTCAGCCTGTCCTACCTGACTCCAACCCCACACTCCTTTCTCGGGAGCTTTGTGTCCATGCTCCTCCACCCCAACTCTGTGTCTTCTGCTTTGGTAGGCAACACATTCCCACAGCTGGAACTTTTACAAAGTGAACATGCCCAGGGCCCCACCCCAGGTGTACAGAATAAGAAGCTGGGGTTTTGAATCACTACATCCCACCATAATGGCCCACTGTCCCTTGGGCACATAGTAAAAAAGGCTCAGGATCCTCCCAGACTTCTGGTTAGCCTCCCTCCAGCCCTGGGCACTGAAGAAAGGGGGCCCGGTCTCACACAGCAGCAGAGCTGAGCAGGACTTACTGTGTAGAGCTCATTGGTGACCTTCAGGAGCTCCTCGTGCATCTGCAGGCCAATCTCCTTGCTCTGGAATGTGAAAGAGCACATGTCAGAGGGGGGGAAGGTAGCTGTTGGCTTTAAATTTCCTTTTCAACACAGTCAGGGAGGAATGCTCTGGGCAAGGGATGCAGAAATCAACATAAAACTCATTGACCTAAACTTGAATTCCTCAACTTGTATCCGCAAAACAAAGTCTTCCCTGGCCATGGAAGTTGGGGAACCCTGCTTGGTGATTCACAGAGATATGACCATATTAAAGATTCTGAGAAACCTCACAGCCGTCTTTCTTTAATTCTGTGTCCTATGTTTATGTGACCAAAATATGTGTCCCTAGTTCAATACTCATTAACATTTCATGAGGGTGGGATTCCACAGAACACAGTTTGAGAAATAATGATGTGGCATCTCAGTTCATCAGAGCAGAGCCAGTAAACAGACAGCCCTTTGGGTCACTGGCAGAATACTGAGGTTCTGGCCTCTGCTGTGTCACCAGCTGGCCATGTGGCCTTGGAGACTTAATTACCATGTATAAAATAAAAAACTTTTGCTTTTATACTCTCACATGCATGGACTGTATGTGAGGGGGGCTGTAGTGTGTAATTTAGTTGACCTCAATCCTTTTTGCTGTTGTATACATGTTCAGTATATTCAGGGACACAATTTAGAAAATAATGAACAAATTATCTCCAGGTTCCATCCAGCCTAAAGAGTCTAGGTTCTTGTTACTACTACTTCTTCTTCTTATCATCATCATCATCATCAATCATCATCATCACTCTCCTGTTTGCCTGGACCATCATGTGAAGATTCCATACTGAAAATGGGAGCTCTGATCTCTGCTCCCTTACAGCTGAGTCACCCTGCTCTCCCTTTCAGCTCCCTCAGCCTCAATCATGACCAGCAGTTGACAGGCAGAGACCAGCCTTCCTCTGTCCTGTCGTGTGCAGGTCAGCAGGTCATGGGCTCAGTGGTAGCTGGAGAGGGCTCGGTATCAGGCTCCTTCTCCTCTCCCACAGCCTTTCTCTCAGTTCCTGGGCCTAGACTTGCCAGGAGTCACTTGTCTGAAGGCAATCCTTGCACTTACCAGATGTCTTAACAGACAGCATAAGCTCGGGGGCAGTTCCAGGGTCTGCTTAGACCTCACTCCAGTTCTGGTGACTAAAGAAAAGGGACCCAATCCAACAGCACAGCAGCGTCTCAGCAGAACGGTCTGTACAGAGCTCGCAAAGAGCCTTCAGTGCCATCCCATGCATCCACATGGTGTGCGATGAACTCAACTAGTTACCCCCATTTCCTTCTATTCTCCCTGATTCTCAGTCTGTGCCTCAGTTTCTCCTGTGGCCTATCTCCCTAATGTTTGCCCCACTGCTGACCTTGTACTCTGACATCCGTAGAGGTTCCTCTCAGTGCTCAGTCTCACCAACATCTCCGACACCCAAGACCCAGTTTCTTCTGTCTTTATATTTATGATCTTACTTTTTTGAAGGTACTAAGTGCAAGTGGTTAAAGGACTCTAACAGCCAACAAAGTAAACGTGAAGTAAGTCTCTCATGCTCCCTGACCCCTGCCAAGAGTCAACTGCTATTCAAAGTTTCTTCTGATACCTTCCAGAAACAGGCTATGGATACACAAGCATGCATTTGGATAGCATATGTTCTTTTGTAAATACCTTTGCATCTTGCTTTTTCTACCTAACAACATATTTGAGAGATTCTTCCTTCACAGCCTATATAGCTCTTGCATCCTCCTTTTTTGACAGCTGCTTGGGGTTCCATATATGATATATATATATATATATATATATATATATATATATATATATATATATATATAAATTAATTAACCTGCTGCATAATGATGGGCATTTAGGTTGCTTCTAGTCCCCTAATATTTCAAACAATGATACAGTGAACATCCTTGTACTCTATCACTGTGCACCCTGTCATATAAATTCCTAGAAGCAGCTCTGCTGGGAAGAGTCCTGCCTTCAAAACTCCCACCAGCCTTGCCTTCTCTGCCTCTGCCCCCAGCCCCCTCCCCACACACTACTGACTCCAGCTCCCACTTCTCAGTGATCAACAACCATGTCTACCATCTCCATGGTCCTCTCTCTTGGGCTCCACCCTCCACGACCCTGAGCCCAAGCTCAGAGACCTGTATCTTCAACTGTTGTAAAACAGTACAGTCTGGATGTTCCCTCAACCAAAAGCAAGCTCCTGAACTTTCCTCCATCTCCTTGAATTTGGTAAATGGTCCAACATAGTCCCTGGCATGGCAACTGAAATATCCCTCCTCAATCTAATCTCTCATTGCCTCCTTCCTTCTAACTGTCTAATACTTTGCTCTCAGTAGCAGTGATGCTGGTTCCCTCCCCAGTATCCTTTCTTGCCCTCCCTGCTTCCCAACAGAGCTACGAATTTTGGCCCTGCATTCAGCCCTCCAGCTGACTTCTTCCAAGACAGGACTCCATCCCTACTTGAGATAACACATTCTGGTATGCTGTTAGCCCAGGGGTATGTGACTTAACTAGATAGACTAGAAGGACTCTGATGATTAAAAGGAAAGTTTTAGCTTTTCCATTGAGTGCCGGCAAAATAACCATGAAGCCCCAATTGCTATCAGCAGCCTTGGGTGGCAGAACAAAAGAATCCCGGTTCCTTAAGGACTCCCTGAGAAATTGGTTGAACTGAACCCAAAGCCTGCCTCCTAGTGAATAAATCTATGAATGGATGAAGGCTTAGTTTCCTTATCTGAAAAAGTGGGATGATGTCATGAGTGTCATGGAGTCCCTGTGAGGATGAAAAGCGGTAACACATATGGCAACACTAGGCATCGATGAAGAGCTTGGGAAATAGTGCATGCTGAACTCACATCCACTGATGCCAGGGACAAAGCTAGAAAGTTGATTAGAAAAGGAAATGCAAGTTGAATTTTTTTTATTAAGTTGTCCCTTAAGAATTATCTACTTTGGCAGGATCGTGAGTCAAGAACCAAATAATTCTAAGGCAAGAGGTGGAAAGAGCCACAAGAGTGACAGATGGCATGATGTGGGATGAAGTGATGAAGAAGATACAGGGACAACCACCAGAGCCACCCCACCTTGTGTGAAAGGATAGAGATGGTATTTGAGGAAGGGGCACAGGTGTGAAAGGATAGAGACGGTATTTGAGGAAGGGGCACAGCCTGAGTAAAGGCACAGAGACTGGCACCAGGGAAAAGCTTGGTTTGCAAAAAGAGAAGCACAGCAATAGGGGAGCAGAAGATGAGCTTGAAACGGAGCTGAGTCACACAGGCTGTGGAGTGCAGGTTTCATTGAGTGGAACTGGGAGCCTCTGAAGGCTGTGATCAGAGGTGTGCTTCTTCAGGAAGATGAGAGAGGGCATAGAAGAAGAAGACAGGGTGGACTGGACAGGGAGGAGCTGGAGGCCTGGTGCCTGTGTTTCCTCAAAGGCACAGTAAGTCACCAGAGGGAACCTGCCTGAGTCTCTGCTCACCTCCCTCTCAGCACCAAGCGCGGGCTGGCCACAAAGTGAGTGCTCAGCAAATAGTTACTAAACTGCACAGGACTCAAAGGAATTTTATTTTTCTATAGTTGGGGTTGGTTGAGAAGGGAAATATTCTCAACCACAGTTCCAGAAACTACTGAATGAGGAACCCAAACCAAACATTCCACCAGGAACAGGAGGCCAAAACCCTGATAATCTCTAGCAGACCATCACACCCAGCCCTTGGGGATCCAAGTAGCAATGCATTAGCACTCTTTGTCCACATTTCTCACATGACTTTCATGCCTGCAGAGGTCAGGGGTGGCAGGCTGCTTCCTTCATGCACAGGAAGTGTGTGGACTGTAGAAAATTACATTGGACCAAGTAGGGCTCAGCCATGGCAACCGTGGTTCTTTGGGGCTGAAAGGATACAACATTGTCTCTTTGATCCAAATAAGTCTGTAAAATCAGGTGGTAGATGGCCCAATCCTGCCTCTTTCTTCTGCCCACAGCTAATGCCAGTTAAACTCTAATAGGGTCAGATAGCTCTTTGATGGGAGTGGGGCCGTCCTGGGCATTGTGAGATGTTTAACATCATCCCTGGTCTCTAACCAGGAGCATTCCCCACCTCCACCCCAAGTTGTGACAACAGAAATTACCTCCAACATGGCCAAATGTCCTCTGGGGGACAAAATCTCCCTGGCTGAGAACCACTGTCCTAGACCAAGGGCTCCAAATCACAGTGACCTGCAGATGTGTTGTATTTGGCCATTCAGTGTTTTCAGATAATCGGATTCTTTTCCCAGCTTCTAAAAACCAGGAAATCCCCCTTACATGTCCAGATTTTCAGCTTCTCCTGAAAAAACTAGAAGATCCAGTGATACTGAGCCCCCGCTTCAAGTTGGCTGCAGGGCCCAGCATCTCCCTTCATTGGCCCTTGGGGGCATTTGAGTTTGGACCCAGACACTAGTGGGGGTCTCGCAGGGAGTAGCCATCAGAATCCCTTGGCTCTCGTCAATGACAGCCATAGCTAACCTGTGAGAATGCCTTTTTAACCAACATCCTCCTCATATCCCAACTTTGAAAGCCACTGAAACATCCACTTCCTGAGACCGAAGCTCTTGGTTCCCCCATGGACCCTAACAGCACAGCCTTCGTAGAATCCCAGCATCCCCTGAACCTACTTCTTCTTGTTCCTCTGCGGCCAATTCCTCGCCTAGCTTTGATTCTATTTACACCAGCACTAACTGAAACCTACTAGATACCAACTTCAACTAGGCACCAAAGACACAAAGCTGAAAGAGATACAGCCCCAGCTCGGTCAGTCACACCTAGCATTTATGGAGCACTTTCCATTTGCTGAACACTGTCCAAAGCACTTCCATACATTATTTAATTTAAACCTTGAAGGTAGGTAATAATATTATGTCCACTTGGCAGATGATAGCTGGAGGCTCAGAAGGACTGAGCAACTAGTCCCAGGTTGCACAGCTAGGAGGTAACAGAGCCAGGATTCAGCTTTTAGTTGGTCTGACTTCACAG